GTCGAGGCAACGGCCACTCTCACTGATGCTACTTCGACTGTCACTGCTACCCAGACTGATGCCACTGCCACCGTCACCGCTACGGTCACCGATGCTACCGCCACCGTCACTGCCACGACGACTGATGCCACAGTTGAGGCAACTGCCACGACGACCGATGCCACAGTCGAGGCAACTGCCACGACGACTGATGCTACTTCGACTGTCACTGCCACGTCGACTGGTGCCACTTCTACCGTCACGGCTACAGTCGTTGAGGCCACGTCCACTATCACTAGTACCGAGGTTGAGACCACTACTACCACCACGACCACTTCTACTGCTACTGCGTCGCCAACAACCTCTACCAACGACAACACAGGTACTCAGGACGACGCCAACGCTGGTCAGAACAGCACTTAAGCGTCACACTTACTGGTCTTGGCTTCGTAAACCTCCTGCGCTTGATGGTCACCTCCGTCGTGTATTCGTTTCCTGCTTTTTTGTATTCTTTCGCACACCTTCTCCTTTTGTCCATACGGACTCGACTGGACCGTTTCTTCGCTCAAATTCTTTGCCCGGCAGTACTTCTCTCGTTCGTTGCGCAATGCATCAGTTCTTCAGCAACCATCTGTAGTGAAGGAGTGTCGACGGGGTATCCGGCTGTTTGTGAAGGAGAGGAAGTAATTTGGAGAGTTGGGCAGATCGTGACTTGCCCCTCTAGATGAGCCCCCGATGGCAGACGTGGAGGGCATAGACTGAACGTTGAGTTTTCCTCGCGGTGCCAAACTCTCTCGAAAGAGGCAGTGGAGATTGCCTCTGCGTAGAAGCTCCAAGCTTTGGCGTGACCGCATACGATCTGCTGAGCTCTTACTCTTGCAGAAGATGAGCTTTCTTTGCAAAGGCTGTTCGTACGAATGCTCGCCTTCACTCGTCTTGCGTATCTGAGTCTCCCACGGTGCGTCGTCGGAGCTCCACGGTGGAGCTGCCCTGCTTCCGCGACTGAGGGGCAAGTGCGGGTGAGGCCGTGGTGCCGTGGTGCGCCTCCGCCTTTACCTTGGCCTCCTTAAAGGTGTAGATAGCTCCTTCCTGGCTGCTGCTCCACGCTGACCATCGTCGACGGTGTACCCGATCCATGACCATCCTCCCTTCTTCTTCGACGAACATGGCTTCTACTGCTGCTCCCCACCACCCTTCCTACGCCCGCGACTATGGCTACGACGATGAATACGATGCAGCCCCGCACTACCGACCTCCTTCCGGTCCTCCTCCACCAGCAGCAGCATCATCCAGGATGGGTCCAGGACCCAACTTTGCCCGTCCTCCTCGTCCAGGAGCAGGTGGACCTCCCCCGCCCGCCTACCAGAGAGTGATGCAACGCATCTCACTCCGTCCAGTACTCCTCTTCACCACTTCCATATCTATCCTCTACCTCGTATTCAGCGCAGCCGTCTCTCTTCGCTCCTTGAATCAAACAGGCGAGACGGGAAAGCTAAAGACCTTTGATGTCATCCTCGGAATTCTCCTCCTGGTAGCAGCCGTCGTAGAACTTTTGGGACTCTCAGCAGCCTGGACTTCCCGACTGAGCTGGGCGACTCTGTATGCCCGCGCAAGCACAATTGCTCTAGCACTCGTAGTTGGCGCGGAAGTCGTAGGCATTGTAGAGCACTACGTAGCCAAGACGGACCTCATTGCTGGATGTACCACCAGAAATACTGGCACCAACAGTGACACTGATTCCAGCTGGTGGTTGTGGGGATCAGGATCGGATGGGGCGTCTACCACCATGACGGCTGCCGAGGCGCAGGCGTACTGTGAGGCGCGATGGAGCAGGACCACCGCCTGGGTCATCATCTGGTATGTACGGACAGTCCAAATCATTGTTGCGATCGACACACTCACCCCCTGCTCCACATTCTCCCTCACAGGCTCATCATCGTCACCGTCCTCGGTAGTCTCTTTGTCCTCCTCGCCTTTGCTTTCCTCCGCCAACTTCGGGACCCTTCCCTATCTCGATCCAGTCGCAGAGGCGTTTCGGGCGCAGGAGCCTACTCCTCCGCATTCAACGACGACGACGAGACCAGTCCCTTTGAGAGCAGTAGACCTGACGGGGGACCTTACGCCTATTCCTACCCACCTCCACCAAGCTCTCCCCTCCCGCCAAGAGGTAGAGGTGTAGGTGCTGCGCCTTCCCTTCACTCCGAAGGAGGGTTCAGCGCTTCCTCTTCTGATGCACCAGAGTATTCTCCCAACCCCGAAGGAGCTCTACCGAGGAAGAGTATGCAGAGCATCGATCTGGACCGGAAAGACTCACGTGGACCTGGAGGGGTGGGGGAGTATGAGTACGAAGATGGATATGTTCTCAATTATGGTGGAGGTGGGGGAGCGAGGGGTAGGCCGGAGAGTAGTCGATCCGTCAGGCAGATTGGAGGAGAGGAGGGGCGAAGATCGGATGAGACGCTTCGTGGAGATGGAGAGGAAGGGGAGGGAGGTAGAGCGGGTGGGGTGAAGATCTAGACCCAGCCTAGCACGAGGAGAAGAAAGGGGGATCGGCTGATCAAAAGAGGATGGCGAAGCAGGCCTTTGCCATCGGAGAATCAGAAGTGGTGACAGCAGCAAGGGTGAGGGAACCCTCCCCGAACATTGAACTCTGTCTTTCGGAACGCGTGTATACCTTTCTCCCCTTCACTCTGTTGTTCTTCTCTGCTCTGATTGAGAAAATTGTTGTCATTCAAAAAGTGTCGAATGAGCAGATTGGATGCCCAGCAAACGTTGACCTCATCTCAAGGCCCACATCTTGACGACGAAGAGCTCCTCAGGCAGACCTTCTTGCACCTCGCATCGCACCACTTCCAGACCGGCCTCGCGGAAGACGCGTTCGTATGCTTTGGAGGAGCTGTGGGGTGACAAGGACGGGGCCGGCGTGAGACCAGGGCAGGGGTCAGTATCTCTTTCTGGGATCCTTCAAGGGGATTCGACGTGACTGGATCCTGCAACTCACCGAGTGATACTCTTGTCCTCCTCGTCCCACCAAACGTTCTCACTACCGTCCTCGTTCTCCGTGCAAACATTCTCCTTTACCACAATCACTCCATCTTGTGGCTCCTCCTCCTTGGCCTTTGCTTCCTCTTCTTCCTCATCTCCTCCCTCCTGTGACGGCGCAGGCCGAACGTTCTTGACAAGAGCTGCCTTTGCGCGATGTAGGAAGGAAATTAGATCTGGATCGGAGAGGTGCTGCAGCATCCACTGACACCAGATCACGTCGTACTGCAGTGGCTCTGCTTCGGGGCTCTCTAAGGCGGCAGAAGCAGGAGGAGCTGCAGTCGTGCTGCTTTCAGACTTGACTTCGACGTCTGGAGCACTCGCGCTCGACTTGGACTTTGCATCTGCCGACGGAGCAGTGACGGGTGGTATGAGCGCAGCATCGCTCCCACCCTCAGCCCCTTGCCCAGCCAATTTCTTCTCCTTGTCATCGACCTTTGCCCTCTTATTCCTCCCACCACCATTTGCTGCCATTGCGCTACCATTGGGGTTGAGGAAGATAGCTGCCATTGCGCTACCATTGGGGTTGAGGAAGATACCACCGTCAGAAGTGGACCAAGGCCGGGCGGGGTCGAGTGCGTGGAGGGTGGAGATGTGGAAGTGGACTGATTTGGGTTGGGTTGGAGAGGAGGTGGAAGAGGAAGGGGCAGTTTGGAGGGAGGGCCAGGTGGGGGCCTCAGTTGCTGCTTGGACGAGGAACTGAGCGAGAAACAGTACAGTGAAGAAGCACATGTGAGCATGGAGGGATTGGACGTAGACTCGTCACCCCTTTGGCTCCCCATGCCTACTCACCTTTCTCACGGGCTCCACCAGATGTACCTCATCAAGTAGCAGGCCCAGCACATCCCTCGTGACTCTGCCCACTCCCGCACCAGCATCAAGCGCTCTAGTCCTCCTCCCTCCTCGCTTGGCTCTTTGCTCTCTCCACACCTTGGGATCTTGCGTCACGTCTGGAATGGTACTAAGCCGCGGCAGTAGAGAGAGGAGAAAGAGACGCGAGCCGAGGGCGTCTACGCGTGGCAGGGTGCCGAGGCCGTACCCTCCCAGTACACCATTGACGTTTGCCTCTACAGTCTGCCAGTACTCTATTCCACCTGATACGTCGGGCTTGGGATGCAGGGACAGAGTTCGATGCGCCATACTGAAGGGTGATCTTGATGAAGAAGGGGGAGAAGGTCAAGACATGGCCTCGCGGAAGCACAGAGGGCAGACGCACATGGCCCGAAGTTCCAAAAATGCTCCGCGGCTCAGCTCCACTCGACTCAGTCCGTCGCTGATGCAGGAGCCACTCCCGACAGTCTACTCACCATCTCATCCGTCAAGGATACCAAGAGCTCAAGGCAAGAAGACATCTCGAGGCATCACTCTCTTCCCTCGACTCTCCCCCAGTCGCTACCAAGATGCAAGGCTTCAACATGGGCCGCTACCGGCCTCCAGACTCGGACCCTCGAACCCAATCCTTCAACTCCCACACCGGCACCCACCCCCTCGGCAAGCGCGCCTCGAAGCTCTCCACCGAAGGAACTCTCACCGTCCGCTTCGAGCTCCCTTTTAACATTTGGTGCGCCCACTGTTCCACTCACATCGCACAGGGAACGAGGTACAATGCTCACAAAAAGCGCATGGGAAGCTATCTCTCTACGCCTATCTGGGCTTTCGAGTGCAAGTGTCGTAATTGTTCGGGGGTATTCGTGGTGCAGACGGACCCACAGAATGCGAGGTACGTGGTGACCGAGGGGGCTACGAAGAAGGAGGAGGAGTGGGATCGCGACGAGGCAGAGGGAGATAATCAGAACACTCTAGCAGGGATGAGAGTGGAGTTGGAAGGAGCAAGGGAGAAGAGGGGGCTCAGGGACGCAGTGCAGGGTCTGGACTCCCTTGAGAAGCCTGGAGGAAGCGCCCCAGACGCCTTTGCCTCCCTGGAGAAGCGCACTACTGCTGGATCCAAAGAAGCGCAGAGACAGAAGCGTCTCCTCGAGCTGGAAACTCTGGCCAATTCTCGCTCCGCGGACCCTTATACACTAAACTCTCGGCTGCGTGGGACTTTTCGTACGGAGAAGAAGTTGCGGCAGGGCAAGGAGCGGCAGGAACGTCGCCTCAAATTGGAAATGGGCTGGGCGGAAGATCGTAAGCTACTCTTGCCTGGTGAAGAACAAGATGCAGAAGAGGTGGGGAGGGAGCGGGAGGAGTGGAGGGAAGAGAAGCAGAGGCGCGAGAGGGAGAGAGTAGAGGAGGCAGTGGCAAGGGGAGAGAGGATTCGTGAACCTCGGACGCCAGCGACAGCGAGCACAACATCAATTCTATCATCAAGAGAACGCTCTGACAAGAGTGGCAAGGCTCGCAGCTCCCTCGCAGTTGACACAAAGAAACGTCTGCGTTCCTCGCCCGCCTCTTCGTCTTCGTCCTCTACACGGCTCAACCCGACGGCCTCAAAGCTGGCGCGAACGCTACTGGGCAGAACGAGGAGGGCGGAGGACCCCTTTGGCAAGTAAGACTAGTGTGGGACACAAAATGAGAGGCAGGCATAGACATCCATCTGTAATCAGAGAATACCCAAACGCCACATTGTATTAATAGACAAAATTGTATCGTACTGCAATGCCCAACTAGACAAGATGATCCTCGCCTTGAATGCGAGCTGCCAATCCCTTCGGCTTTGATTGCGAGCTCATTGCGCTCAGCTGTCTGCTCCGAGGTGATCAACGCTCATCAGACTTTCGCCCTCGCTCCCGCTGACACTCCCACCGCACTTCTCTCGAGTGCTCTCTCCCTTTTCCTCCCCTCACATCTTCTTCTTGTCCTTCTTCTTCTTCTTCTTGGACGACAGATTGCCTTTACCACTGGTAGAGGGAGGCTTCGGACTCGTCTCCTTGGGCGCCTCACCCGCGTCAGCAGCAGGACTGACCGCTCCGCTTGAAGAGGCCGATGGGGAGACGGTACTGCTGCCGCTGTTCGCTCTCTGGGGTGCTGGCGGTGGCTTCAGACTGGGCGATTCGGCTCCCAATCGGTTCCCGGCCTTGAAGGAGCTTGAGCGACTGAGCGACGCACCTGCTGCGCTTCTTGTGCTCGCTGTGCGACGCAACGAGGTCGGTGAAGCGCCTGGACCGTCGGCATCAGTGGATCCACTTTGGGCTACTGAACCAGACGGGGTTCGCTTTATCAGCGAGGTGAGACGACGGCGGATCTTGCCCGGAGTGGAAGTGCCAGAGGCGGAGCCAGCTGGGGAGCCAACAATGGGAGAGGCAGAGGTTGCTTCTTCGCTCGTTGGGAAAGCGCTCGAGTCAGCCCTCGAAGTCGAAGGGGTGAGGGTAGGCCTCTGCTCCGGCGCGGTTGTTGCCTCTTCACTTGTGGGGACATTCACAGCGCTTGTGCTTGCGGCCTGATCAGGCGAAGTAAGCTTGGTCTCCGCATCGCCGACCTCAGTCGCCTCGATGGTCGACTCTACTGACGCGATCGGAGCTGAGACTTCAGGTTCAACAGTCTGGGCAGGGTCTGCAGCCGCTGGAGTCACAAGGGGCGTCTCTTCAGGCGCTGGGGCAGCAACTGGAACGCTGGTCGTCTCGCTTTCTCCATCTAGACCGTTCGACTGCTTTTGCGCGCCGAGAGCTGCTTCGACCTGCGAGGGAGAGATTACCCCAAGCATACCCGGCTGTGGCTCACATGCGACCTCCGTATCAGTCTGGCCCGTCGCCTCGGCAGTGGACTCGTCGACTGCCCTTCCCTTGCCCCTCGCCTCCTTCTCGCGGAGCTCCTTCTCTGCCCTCTCGTTGTCCGTCTCGACCTGAGCCTGCCACATCGCGGCATACCTTCCGCCAGGGATGGCGATGAGCTCTTCATGCGACCCACTCTCCGCGACTCTGCCGTCATGGAGGACGAGGATCTGATCCGAGTTGACAATGGTAGACAGGCGGTGCGCGATAGTCAGAGACGTCTTTCCCTCGAGCAGAGTAGCAAGAGCAGTCTGAATCTGACGCTCCGTTTGAGAGTCCAGAGCCGACGTGGCCTCATCGAGGAGCAAGATAGGGGGACTTTTCAAGAAGCACCGGGAGATAGCCACTCGCTGCTTCTCACCGCCCGAGAGACGTACGCCACGCTCGCCGACCACTGTGTCCAGACCCTCCGGGAATGACCTAATCTTGTCTAGGATTTGAGCAGCAGCGGCTGCGGCATCAATCTCCTCATCGGTGGCTTCTGGGTCTGTTCGGCCGTATGCAATGTTCGTCTTGATGCTCGTATTTAGCAGTCCAGCTTCCTGAGGCACAACACCAATAGACTTCCTGAGACTACCCTGCGTCACTTTGCTAATGTCTTGCCCATCAATCAAGATCGAGCCAGACGTAGGGTCATAGAAGCGGTACAACAAGCGCAGGATGGTCGTCTTACCACTGCCTGTCTCTCCAACCAAGGCGACCTTGCTCTTGGGCTTGATTGTGAAGCTGAGGCCTTTCAGCGCTTCCACTTTGCCATCGTAAGAAAATCTGACGTCTCGGAACTCCAAAACCCCAGAGTTGATCTCCAGAGGTTTGGCGTCCGGGATATCTTTGATGTCCTTCTCTTCTTGGAGGAGGGCGATGAGCTTGTCCGTGTCGACTAAAGAGGTCTGAATGACTCTGTAGAGTGTGGAAAGCATATTCAGCGGGCCGTAGATCTGACCGAGGTAGGAGATGAACACGACGAAATCAGAGCTTGAGGCGTATCCATTGACGACATCGTACGCCACGAGGAGGAGCATGAGCAGAGTGCCCGTAGCGAGCAGTAAGTTCTGCACCAGATTGAGAACGTTGAGACTGGCGCTGACTTTCCACTCTGCCTCTTGGTAGGCGCGAAGACTCAGCTCGTATCTCTGTGTCTCGTAGCCCTCATTCGCATAGACTTTGACCGACTCGTAGTTGAGGAGCACGTCTGTGTGAATGGCACGAGAGATACTGTCCTTGTTGTTTGCCTCTCTCCTTAAGGCAGTCCTCCACGTTGTCAGCTGTACCGAGACTGCAGTGTAGACAACCATGACGAACAGGAGAAGCAGTCCCACCTGCGGTCCGAAGGTCAAGGACAAGAATCCAGTTGCGATGACGATATCGAAGAAGATAGGGCCGATTGAGAAAATGAGATATTGGAAGAATGAATTGATGGAGGATCCTCGATCTAGGATTCGTAGCACTTCTCCGGTCTTCCGTTTACTGTGGAATGCCATAGACAGATCGAGAAGATGTCGAAATGCCATCAGAGACATGTGTCGGTCGGAGTATTGCTGGAGTGGCAGCCAGGCCATATTCTGTAAGACTTGGAGAGCGCCGCCGCTTCCTTGCAGGCATCGCAAGCCAGCATAGCCGGCTATCAGCCACCAGATACTCATTGAGCTGGCTGTCTCCTTCCCAGCCAGCTTGTCAACAATGCGGCCTAGCATCAGAGGTACCGATAGGTTGACAATTCTACCAATGACCAACAGGAGAACACAGAAGACGGCGAGTGCTTGCAGTAGTGTGCTTTGCGATGGCCAGAGATATGGGAAGAGGAGGACAATGCGTTGAAAGAAGACACGGAATGTGGGAGGAGGAGGCTGAGCCGATACGGTAAGTCCCATGGACGCATTGGCTGCTGCGGCTCCTGATTTGGCCTTGCTAGCTGATGCAGCGGTCGGAGTATTGTGACCATTAGTGGAGGACCCTGCCGATGTAGCGCCATAGTTCTGCGAGGCGTGACCCGCCGAGGTAGGTCGAAGCAGGGAGCTCTGCTCTGTGGAACGATCCACCGAAGCAGAGGCAGCTTCCGAGTTCTGTGCCAGCCGAGCATCTGTGCCATCCCTCGCGTCTTCGTCGCTGGCGGGATCAGTGGAGTGAGAGACTGAAGCAATGACGGTCAGGATGGGCCAGAGAACAATGATTCTGAGGATTTGCAGAGCGAGCTGAGCCCAGGTCCATGGGGTTGTGCTCCTCCAGTCGTGCTTGCCGCCCTTGGCAATGATGTACAAGATCAGGATGAGGACATCGCCAATGCCGACAAACGCGATGGCTGCATAGATGGGCTGGATTGAGTATCTCCCGGGCCCCGCCTGCCTCTGCTGCCAAGCTACGAGGATGAGCGCAGCACCAATGACGATGATGTCCAGAGGAATCTGCCAGTCGATGTTGCGCCAGAGGGGCAATGCCGGTGTCCACTTCTGATGGTCAGTAGGAATGACAGCTCTCAGTACCAGCAACAGGCCCTGAACAAAGTAGGTGAAGAGTACCGCGAGGATGATGGAGCCTAGCGCGCTGGACCTCCTGCGTCGCGGTGATGAGGATGATGGGGCCAGTAGGAGTGCACACACGACCAGTGCTGCGAGGAGCCCCAGCGGCTGGACGATGCGAAGCAAAGCTAGCCAATTCTCATATCCGCTAGGCGTATGGCTGTGCCCAAGCATCTCGCCTTGGGTATCCCGAGCCATGGCGGTGTGATGGTGATGTAGTCAGGCCAGGAACAAGGAGCGGGGGCCTCACGAGGCAGGCGCAGCAGCAAACGTCAGGGCTCAACTGCCGTCCCGACGCTGCAGACGCGAAGAAGCCTCGGCAGACGCCAACTTCGATCTCCGCTGCCGGAACGCAGGGTCCACAGTGGAGCAGATGTCGTAAGGCCAACTTCCGCTGCTTCTCTGAACCCTGTCAGCCCTGCCTTCTTCGCAACCGGCGTTCAGACTGCACCTCACTCGCAACCTTCGCCTACATTCATCACTCCCTTCCCTTCCTACTCTCTCCTCCTCTCCCATGTCTTCCTCAGCAACTGCAATCCCGGCAGAGACGCCCCTTCTGTCGGCTTCTCGCCTCATCTCCCAGGCTCTCTCGCTGCTCAGGGACTCGCCCGATTCCGCCCCGAGCCAAGATGCCATCTCTCAGCTGCAGCTCTCCTTGGACGTTCTCACCAAGCTAGATCCTTACATTGAGTCTCACAGCGCCGCTCCGCCCGCTGCTTTCGAGGGACTGGCACAGGCCACAGTGTCCGAAGATTGGGCTGCCCGTCACAGGGAGGGTAAGACCGCCTTCCCCCTGGGGGCCCAGTTCTCCGCTGGAGCTTATGAAGGAATGTTCGTGGCTCAGGTTGCAAAGAGTATCCGGGCCAAGCGAGTCCTGGAGGTCGGCATGTTCACTGGCACGACCACCCTCTGCATCGCCGATCAATTGCCTGCGGGAGGAAAGGTCATTGCGCTGGAAATCGATGCCTACCTGAAGGACTTCCTTAAGCCCCATGCGGAGAAGGCCGGCGTCTCCGAGAAGATCGAGGTCATGACCGGCAAGGCAAAGGACTCCATCGAGACTATTCTCAAGGAGGTCCAGAGCGGAAAAGCAGAACCCTTCGATCTCATCTTCATTGATGCTGATAAGGAGGGCTACCAGGGTTACTTTGATCAAATCATCAATGGTGGCCTACTCGCCAAGTCGGGAACCCTACTCTGCGACAACACATTGTACAGTAAGTGGAGGAGAGGGGATTCCGCCGCTACTTGAGAACCAGCAGCGACTGACTACGTATTCGCATTGCGCTCTATCTCATCACAGAGGGCTCTCCGTTCCTTGAGGAGGGCTCACCTCAAATTGAGAAGCTCCTCGCCAAGGTCCCCGGCATCTCTGTCAACAATGCAGTGGCTCTGCGAAAGTTCAACGACAACGTCTTGCAGGACAAGCGAGTCCTGTCTACCATTCTGCCCATCCGTGATGGAGTTACGTGGATCAACTGGGCCTGAGAGAAGATTGCGGCCCAAGACAGAGCGCTGAGCAGTGGTGGGGAAGAGTCACAAATCGGAAAAGGAACTGGAATCGCGTTGATAGAAGAACAGACGTGGACGCTTTCGTTATGGTACTGTACAGGTCATTGACTGTCGGTCTTGCCTCTTTGGGGCCTCTGCTCTTTAGTCCTCCTCTTGTGTTACCCTGCACCCACAATCAAAACGTCTATTTGTAGCCAGCTCAATGAGATGCTGCTGCCCTCTCGAATAGTTCTCCCGCTTGTCTGATTAGTATCGGACGAGTGAGAAAGCAAGGATCTTGAATCAGCATACAGCGTAGAGGCTGCAGCTCCCCCTCTGATACTCACTGCTCTTTCCTCTTCATCTCCTCCAGACGCCTGATCATCTGTATTTGCTCATCCCTGTTCCATTCTCCTCCCTCCATGCCAGCAATCGCCTTCTCTGCAGCCCGATAGACGTCTCTCAATTCCCTCGCTTCTCTGAGTATCCTCACGCTCAGCTCCGAGGGCTGACCCCCGGATGAGGAGCCTAGCAGACCGCCTCCGCTACCGGTGGCCGAGGAGGAGAAGAGAAAATCATAGAGGGATGTATCGTCGTCCGAGACTTGACCCAGGGCGATGGAAGGACCATCGGATCGATCTTGAGGGGCCGGCACAGAAGGACGGAGAATGGATGGATCGGCTGAGTGAGATGGGCCTGAGGCCAGCGCTGTTGATGCTGAATCACAGGCTGCTCTTGGAGCCCGGGCACCGTTGGGGTCTCCATTCGTGACGTCTCCGTTCCCCCTTGCAACAAAGAGACTCGAGCTGTCTCGGCTTGCCTCGCTCAAGCTGTCTACGATAGATGCTATCCACGGGATGATAGATGGCATGAGCGACGGGTCGAAGACATCTGGTTCCTCGTCGCTACGACGGGCCATGCCGGCGACTCCAGACGGAGCAGTCCCTCCGGGCGCCGTTGCTGGAGTGGGAGCAGATGTCATGAGTCTCGGTATCCGAGGGGCGGCAAGGATGAGTCGGGGAGATCTCAATCACAGGACCGTGCTTCCGATTCCGATAGGACCAGTACCCGGACGGACCGGAACTGGGCCCGGGGCGCAGGATCGGAAGCGGGTCGGAGATAATTGCCATGGAGCTTGTGGGTACTCGCTTGCGCTTCAATCCCTCGAGATCCGGCTCGGCCCTCAACAAAGTTGAACCTCGGCTGAACAAAACAAGGTCTGGACTGCAGAAGCCAGCAATTTCACGACTTGCCTGCTAACCTCTGCCAACGTTCTTCGGGGCTTCCGCTCAACGACCCGGCACGCTAGGGCCCGAACAGATCTCACCAGGCTGGGCTGCAGAGGCGGGACATTTTGGCGTTATGTGGCCGCCAAGCCCCAGGAGCGTTGCGTACCAAAGCTCTGTAGTTCCGAACACACCTAAACCCCACACGACGGTTTGAGTTGGGGGTGTGAAGACGGCGCGGAACAAGGGGGGCATAGACCAGCCGGGGAGGTGGGGGGGTGGGGGGCCACCAGAGAGGGACATCTCGCACCTCAACGCAGGCCACATGTTAACGTCACTCGATCTCGTAAAAAAAGCCGAGACGCCGGCTAAGACGGATGGAACGGGGAGGAACAAAGGAGGACGAGCGAGCAAGCGGGCCAGAGACCATCCCGTCTTCGGGTCGCGTCGAGGCAGGGACCACACACACATCGCTGCTGCGAACTTAGTCTCGCTGCCGGATACGAGCGACGATATTGACACTGGGGAGGCAGGCGCGCGGCTTTGCAGTCTCTGTTGCCGGTGACAGCGGGGCGCACGCCTCACTGGACCCGCGGATGTGTCGATCGGAAGCCTCAACGGCCGCGAGGACATTGCGAGGGTGCAGGACGTCGTCAGAGGAGAAAGCGAGACTCATTGGTGCGGACTATTGAGCGCGTTTCAATTCATTTGGTGTGTCACATGGCCATCCGTTTTACCCATGGTGATCGGACGGGACGCGGAGATGCCGGCGAATGAGCTCATTTTCCATCCCTGCCTGCCTCGCCGTTGCGGCTGCTGCAGCTTTTGCTGCTACTGTGCCCCCTTGGTAGGAGGCCGTTGAGCATGCTGTTTCTGCTGTTCGGAAATAGATCCTTTTCTTGGCCATCTTTTCGCTGGCCCTCGGATGGGTAAAGGTGGAGTGCCAAAGGCTGACTCCTGAACCTTGCTCTGCCCCTGCCCGTGTCTTGCGTGCTGCCTTTTGCCCCCACCCCCACTGTGCTCATCGAATTACTACGATTGCGCATTGCAGTACCCAAGCTTTTGTTCTTGTGAAATTATTCAGACCCACTATAACCGCCGTCCGAACCATTTGGTCCGTTATCTCTCCAGACCTTGCCGGGGAAACCTTGCCCCTCTAGAAGGCGGCTTTCAACCACGATCTCTCTCACAGGCAAAGCCGCGTCTCCTTTCCGCTCCTGATTTTTGGCCGCTGGGTCAACGTACCAGGTCCTCCGCCGGACCTGCCCTCACTTGCAGCTCCTACCATCACACTCCCTCAAACTCTACCCATTGTGTGCGTTCTGTCACACATATCTTTGCTTCCTGAGCATCATCATCATCAGCTTTGCTTAGCTTGAGCACCCATCCACTGCCGCCGCACCCGTCTCGAAGGGACACCGGTCACCTCGGCAATCTCCTCCCTCGCGCGCCTCGATAGGTCATTGCCCACTTCGATCCATCACCGGCGATCAGGAACGCTGTGTCCACTACTTTGCTCACAGCAATACGCCTGCTCTTGTCAGGACAGACCATCCAGTAGAGACAGGGCTTGCGAAGACTAGGAGTGACCCCGCTCTCCAGGCACCGGACGTCTCAGCGCATCGACTGTGGTGTTCTTTGCCCTCAGCAAGCGCCTAATTCGTCATCTGGTAGAGGAGCTCAGAAGACCAACCTCTTCACCTGCTCAGTATAGACAACCGCATTCACGCAGAAGTCATCTCTACCCCCCACTCTCGCTTTACTTGTCTACCACCCCTCGCCATCGCATCGGTTGTTCGGACTGCATCCAGCGATCACCCCGTGGCTGAGCGAATGTCACGCTAGCCCGCTCGCAGCTGCAGACCTTAACCAACACTTGCAGGGAGTGTTTGTGGCCGGCCTGAAAGGCTCATTTACACCCCTCTGCTGCGATACAGCTTTCGCCACAACACATGATGGCAGAGCGGACAGCCTCCCCCAGCAGCGTCGCTAGCGGCTCCACCTTGACCCAGCAGGTGGGATCACGGCAAGGCACTCGGTCACGATCGAGGACGACCAGGAAAGCATCGGGGAGTGTGCCCGCATCGTCATCAGTGGCTCCACCTTTGCCTAGATACGCTAGCGAGGATCATCCCTTGTCGGCGCATAGGCTCGCAGCTAGAGGCTATCACTCATTCAGCTGCCTAGGCGTGCCGTTTCATGTGCCCAAGCGGTACAAATTCATCAGAGAGCTGGGCATTGGAGCGTACGGATGCGTCGCACTAGCGAGAGACGAGGAGCTAGATATGAACGTTGCGTGAGTAGGAGCGTCCTCCACTGGCGGCATGAGATGCGTCAGTCACTGAACATCCTGGGTACCTGTCCACCCTCTACAGCATCAAGAAAGTCACACGAGTCTTCGAAAGGGACGTCTTGGCTCGGCGAGCGTTACGTGAAGTGGCCATACTACGGCATATGCTCAAGAATCAGAACTGCACAGCACTCATCGACTTCGATACCACGTTCATCGACTTCTCCGAGATCTACCTCGTCCTATCGGCTAGTGAGGCAGATCTCAGTCAGATCATCAGATCAGGCCAGGCCCTGTCAGATGCTCATTTGCAATACTTTGCCGCGCAACTCTTGCGGGGAGTGCGGTATATGCATGCTGCAAACATCATCCACCGAGACTTGAAACCAGGGAATCTACTAGTAAATGCAGACTGTGCTCTGTTCATCTGCGACTTTGGACTGGCCAGAGCTTTCGCAGACGGTACCACTGAGAAGCAAGATCTCAGCGGCAGGGAACGGAAGAAGCAGCGAGGGAGAGAGGTGCCTAACGAAGCGCCAACAGTTGATCAGGAGGTGCCGCATGCTTCCCTCACCAGTCCATCGTCCCCAGAGCATCCTGCAAGGCCGCATGGAACGCAAGAGACCTCAGGGCACGATAGAGCGGATCCGCCATCACCTGCTGCAGCGCCTCCTAAGCCTTCCAAAATCCGCACTACCCGACTGGACTTTCCTGGTGGCCCGCTCACAGAGTATGTATCGACGCGGTGGTACAGAGCGCCAGAGATTATGCTAGGCTTCAACGAGGGATACGGACCTGAGATTGATATGTGGTCAGTAGGCTGCATCCTCGCAGAGTTGGCCACAGGTAGGCCTCTATTCGATGGCAAAGATTACGTGGATCAAATCGCTCGCATCCACGGGGTGCTGGGACCACCTTCTCAGTCCGTCCTCGATAGGATCAGCTCGGAGCGTGCCAAGGTCTATGTAGAGAGCTTACCCAAGGATTCGCCGCCGCTGCCTCTTCGCAAGATTCTCAAGACAGCTGCACCTGGCTTGGTCGACCTGCTAGAGCAGCTCCTGGTGTGGGATCCAGCGAAGAGGCTGACGGCAGAAGAGGCATTTCGTCACCCCTGGCTCACTGCGTACCATGGCATCATCGACCAGTGGGAGAAGCCAGAGCCTTTCTCTAAGTTCGACGAGATCGAGCTCATCGATACACTGTCCGAGTTCAGGAGCGCTCTGCAGGCGGAATCGGACGAGGTCAAGGGAGAATACGCTAATCTCTTCGGAAGCGGCGAAGATACCCCTATCAGCTCCACGGACTCTGCCCAGGAAGACTCTGGCGACGATCGTAGTAGCGGCAGGAAGATGACGACCAGTGCGGAAGTGAGATCGATGCGACCACATGCAGCAGTGTCTAGCAATGCTGCTCAGGCCAGAAGTCCCTCGAGAGAGGCGCCAGTGCAAGATGATGGCACCCCACAAGCTACTGTGGACGGACCAAAGGGTGAAGACATGGAACTTCAGCAATCTTCTTCAGCAGCCTCCTCGACTTCGTCCTTGGCCGGCTCAAGCTCTAACCTTACTACCATGACTCGGTCTGAAGGATACACGACCGATCCTTGCTCGCCGCTGACTTCTGTCGGAGAGTCTGCCTGTCTTTCTTCGTCAAGTGAGAACTCGCACTTTGGTGGGGCCATTGGTCGCCCAGCTGCCTCGTTGGGGAATGTCTCTAAGCAGAGGTCATTTACCATGACAACTGTCAGGGGCGAGGGTGGAGAGCTCTTGGGCAAGATTAGGAGCTCTGGTATGACAAAGGACAATACCTCTTTGACTTCGTCGCGTCCGATGGCGCACAGGACTACCAGTGCCTTTGATACGCCAGCTTCTGCCTGGCTTGCCGCACAAGAGGGCACTTCGATGGGAGAGCGTAGGTCGGCCATACCTCGCTATCGACGCAGAGCGCTCACAAATGCAACTCGTCCTGTTCCACTAGGAGCGAGTGAGATGGTCAGCTCATCTGCGCATCGCTCCCTTTCTCCTCGTGGCAAAGGGACAGCGAGGCTGCCTGCGAGTAGCTCTGTCGATATTGCTTCGCTCAGCCTACATGATCTCGCAGACGATGCAGAGGCTGGAGAAGGTGAATGTTCTGGTCCAGCGCAACGACATCGTGCCGCCGTGTCTCGCAAGCAACACTACATGCACACTCCATCTCCGGACTTCCGCCGCTTCACGAATGATCTCATCCCTCGACCAAAGTACGAGTCGGGAGCCTTTGCGTCCCCGGCTCTGGATGCCGGGGACGAAGCAACGAAGGACCTGCTCAAGAGGAGGATCGTGGCAGGAGGAGTCCCCGGCGGGGTTCGTCTCACTGTCAGTGGGAGACGAGACAGCAGAGAAGGAAGTGCGGGTACGGACTCGAGCAACTCTACTATTGAGGCGGTCGCTCTGGACGTTGCACAATGAGGATCTTTTTCAGCCTCTCTCACGTCGATTTCTGGGCCCCTCGGCCTCCTCGCCATCTCTCCCTCCCCCTTCGCCTCGCCTTGCCTGTGCCTGAAGGGGTTCCTTTACTACCACGCCCCCAAAATAATCTTCTGCCCCTTTTCTGGTCTTTTGAGTCATCAATCAGTTCAATTACATACCAATGCACATTTGCATCCTGCTTTCTTCCCTTTCTTGTGAGCTCCTGAATGGCGCGTGGGTGTGTGCGTGCTTTGAAGCGTGCCGTTCCGTCCCGGATGGGGTGGGTGCATGCCGTGCGGTGCGCCGCGAGGGAGGGACGTTGCTCGGCTCCGGGCTTGGTCTGGGGTGTTGGGCGGCAGAAGGTGCAGTGGCGGTCGTCTTCGGGGCTTGCGGGGTTGAGGGGGAGCTGGGTGTGGAAATTTGTTGGGAAGGTGGGGTGGGGTGGATGAAGGGTGGCCCCTGCTCTGCCCCCCTTCCGTGTAATTCGGGCAGACGATGTCCGAGGCTGGCCCGTGGTGCTGCTTGGGGTTGGGGAAAGGAAGAACGGACAGCCGCACCTCGGCCATCGTCGTAGAAGCAGCCGACGGGGGGAAAGGGAACCATTCAAGCCAAGGCACTCATCTTCCACCCGCAACGCTGCTTCCCCTTTCCCACCTCTTTCCTTCCTGTACCTAACAAACAACTCCCATCGAGACTAAACCTTTACTCTCGATTGGTGAAATAGACCCCTCCCACCTACTTCACACACCCCACCCCTCCCACCCTCGACACCCGCTATACCATCATCCCTCGCCGCCTCCGCCCGCTACCTCGCTCCTCACCACCGCTTCTCCTGCGAGAGCAACTTAGACTGACGACCACGCACGGTGTAGAGCAATAAGATACACCGACGACTACTACCTCGCCCTTCTCAAGAGTCTTGTCCCTGTTCACTTCATACTCGCTTCCTCACACAACGATCGTCCTATACTAGAAGCTTTTCCCCACCTCTGTACTGCTCACAATGCCGCCTACTGCAACAGGCACAGACGCTTCGGCCGCATCCTCTTCCCAGGGTCGCAGGCCGTCGTTCGACTTCACTATCCACAAGGGCAAGCCAGAAATTTCCGCCGCACACCCAGCGTCGATGCTCAACGAGGGCGCCATTGCCGAAGAAGGCGAGGATGGCCGTGCTACCCCTCCCAACGAGGTTGCAACCAACGGGTCGCGAAGTGCTCACGAAAAGGTCAAGCACTTCTTTGGTGAGTAGACACTGGACTCGTCAGTCCCTGCACCTGCCCAGACTGTTTGCTGACCTCCTTTCACGCCCATTCCCTGCTCTTCCTCTATCACAGGTGGCAACCATCTGGATGTAGCTCCTTCTGGCCCTGTGACCGACTTTGTGCGCAAGCAGGGCGGTCACACTGTCATCACAAAAGTCCTCATCTGCAACAACGGTATTGCCGCTGTGAAAGAGATTCGTTCGGTGCGAAAATGGGCCTACGAAACCTTTGGTGATGAGAGGGCAATTGAGTTCACAGTCATGGCTACGCCTGAAGATCTCAAGATCAATGCCGACTACATTCGTATGGCCGAGCAATACGTGGAAGTGCCAGGAGGAAGCAACAACAACAATTACGCCAATGTGGACCTTATCGTAGATATTGCAGAGCGTGCTGGCGTTCATGCAGTCTGGGCCGGATGGGGACACGCTTCTGAAAACCCTCGTCTGCCAGAGTCCCTCGCGGCATCGCCTCAGAAGATCGTCTTCATTGGTCCTCCTGGATCGGCTATGCGATCGCTCGGTGACAAGATCTCTTCCACAATTGTGGCCCAGCACGCCGATGTGCCGTGCATGCCCTGGTCGGGTACTGGCATCAAGGACACTGTCATGAGCGAGCAAGGCTTCTTGACCGTGTCCGATGAGGTGTACCAGCGCGCTTGCATTCACTCTGCCGAGGAAGGTCTCGAGAAGGCTGAAATCATCGGATTCCCAGTCATGATCAAGGCCTCCGAAGGTGGAGGAGGCAAGGGTATCCGAATGTGCAAAGCCGCTGAGGACTTCAAGCAGCTATACAATGCCGCCCTCGGAGAGGTGCCTGGCTCTCCCATCTTCGTCATGAAGCTGGCTGGCAAAGCCCGACACTTGGAGGTGCAACTGCTCGCAGATCAATACGGTAACGCCATTAGCATCTTCGGCCGAGACTGTTCCGTTCAGCGACGTCATCAGAAGATCATCGAAGAAGCACCCGTCACAATCGCCCCAGAGCAGGCGCGAGATGAGATGGAGAAGGCAGCCGTTCGTCTGGCGAAGCTCGTCGGATACGTCTCTGCCGGTACCGTCGAGTGGCTTTACTCTCCCGAGAACAACGACTTTGCCTTCCTGGAGCTGAACCCACGTCTGCAAGTCGAGCACCCAACGACTGAGATGGTGTCTGGTGTCAACATCCCCGCTGCTCAGCTACAGGTTGCTATGGGTATTCCTCTTGACCGCATCCGCGACATCAGGACTCTCTACGGCATGGACCCTCGTGGTTCTGACCCCATCGACTTCGACTTTGTCGACCCCGAGTCTACCAAGAAGCAGCGCAAGCCTCAGCCAAAGGGTCACGTCGTAGCGTGTCGTATCACCGCAGAGAACCCAGACACTGGTTTCAAGCCTGGTATGGGAGCACTCACTGAGCTCACCTTCCGCTCGTCTGACTCAGTCTGGGGTTACTTCTCGGTTCAGGCCTCCGGTGGTCTGCACGAGTTTGCAGACTCTCAGTTCGGTCACCTGTTCGCATACTCACCCTCTTCCCGAGACGAGGCCCGTAAGAACATGATCATCTCGCTCAAGGAGCTGTCCATCCGTGGAGACTTCCGAACCACAGTCGAGTACCTTATTCGATTGCTCGAGACCCCCACTTTCATCGACAACAGCCTCAACACCAGCTGGCTCGATCGCTTGATTGTGGAGCGCTTCGCTGCCGAGCGACCTCCTCGAGACTTGGCCGTCATTGCTGGAGCAGCCGTCCATGCTCACCTGAAGGCACAGGAATGCGAGAACAACTACAAGCGCATTCTCAACAAGGGTCAGGTTCCTCCTCGCCAGACCTTGCAGTCGGTCTTCTCCAATATCGAGTTCATCCACGAGAATATCAAGTACTCTTGGACCGCCTCTCGCTGCTCTCGCAGTGTCTGGTCACTTTGGCTCAACGGAGGAAGGATTCTCGTCTCTGTCCGACAGCTGGCTGACGGTGGTCTCCTGATCACCCTTGCCGGCGGCAAGTCGCACCCCGTCTACTTCCAGCAAGAAGTTGGCTCGATGCGACTCAGCATCGACGCTCGAACTTGCACAATCGAGGAAGAGAATGATCCCACCCAGATCACCGCTCCTTCGCCAGGTAAGCTCCAGAGGCTCCTCGTGGAGAGTGGTGAGCACGTCAAGGCAGGAGCCGTCCTTGCTGAGATCGAGGTCATGAAGATGTATCTGCCCTTGCTAGCTGCCGAGGATGCCATTGTCTCATGGGTCAAGTCTCCCGGTACCTCAGTCGCCCAAGGAGATGTCCTCGGTATCCTCGCCCTCGACGACCCATCAAAGGTACAGCACGCCAAGCCTTTCAGTGGCCAGCTTCCAGATATCGGACTGCCCGTCATTGTGGGTCAGAAGGCAGAGCAGCGCTTCTCCCACGTGCTCGAGGTGTTGACGGACGTACTCGATGGTTTCGACCAAAGCTTTACCATGTATGCCGCACTGGCAGAGCTCAGTGAGCTCCTGCGGGACCCTACCCTCCCTTACGGACAAGCCCAGCGTATCCTCTCTGCTCTTTCGGGCCGTATGCCAGCACGCTTGGAAGAATCGTTCCGAGCCAACATTGAGACGGCACAAAAGCGAGGCGCCGAGTTCCCAGCCGCTCGACTCCGCAAGACGGTGGAAGCGTTCCTCAAGGACTCTGTCGAACCGGCCTCGAGGGGACAGATTCAGACCACTCTCACTCCCCTGACTCAGCTTCTCGAGGAGTACAATGGTGGACTGAAGGCGCACGAGGCATCTGTCTACGCCTCCTTGCTTGAGAAGTACTACCTGACGGAAAGTCGCTTCACTGGAGAGGCAGACGTCGTCCTCGTGCTCCGCCAGGAGGCCGATGATGACCTGCAAGCGGTCGTCGACCAGGTTCAGTCTCACAATGGCGTTGCTCGAAAGAACGGGCTCATCCTCGCCCTTCTTGAGAAGTACGTCCGACCGTCCAGCTACCTCACTCGAGGAAGTGACGGCGCAAAGATGCAGGAGGTCCTGTCTCAGCTCGCCTCTCTGCAGGGCAAGCTCGTCGCTCCCGTCGCTCTCAAGGCGCGTGAAGTGGCCATTGCCGCACATCTGCCAAGCCTCGAGGACCGACAGTACCAGATGGAGAGTATTCTCAAGAACTCTGTGTCGGCCAACAGCTATGGTTCGGACGAAGAGTATCACACTCCTAACATCACCATCCTGCAGGAGCTCGCCGACAGTCAGTACTCCGTTTACGATGTTCTGCACGCCTTCTTCCGATCGCGCAAGCCCGCAATTGCCTTCGCAGCCCTGGTCACCTACGTGCTGCGAGCTTACCGTGCCTACGACCTAGTCAACTTCGACTACGCCATGGAAGACTTCAGCGCAGAAGAGCGAGCTGTCATCTCGTGGGACTTCCAACTGGCCAACCCCGGCAAGCCTACCTCCGAGCGCAAGGCTTCCGAGACCGATCTGGAAGGCCTCATGAAGGCCAAGGAGAACGCCAACAAGAGGCCCGATCTGCGACAAGGAGTCATGACGAGCGTCGGAATGATTTCGGATCTTACCGATGCTTTGCCCAAGGTCTTGAAGGTCTTCAAGCGAGGCAATGCCACCTCGCCCATCAACGTGCTGAACATTGCCGTCACGGACGAGGGAGATACCTCTGATGCTCAAGCTCGAGACCAGTTCGTTGCCTACACCAACCAGTTCGGTGACGCTATCGCCAAGGCGGGGATTCGACGAGTGACCTACCTGCACACCCAGCCGGGCGTGTACCCTTGGTTCACCACTCTGCGACGATCTGAGGATGGCACTTGGGCTGAAGAGCGTGCTATCCGCAACATTGAGCCCGCTCTTGCCTACCAGCTCGAGCTGAGCCGTCTCGTCACCAACTTCGAGATCGTTCCCATTCCGGTCACCTCTTCGTCTGTGCACCTCTACTTCGCTCGAAGCCGTCAGAACCCCAGCGATGTCCGCTTCTTCGTCCGAGCCCTCATCAGGCCTGGAAAGATCTCTGGAGAGGCTGCCGCCGACTTCCTCATTGCCAGCACGGATAAGCATCTCTCTGATGTTCTGGACACGCTCGAAGTCGCCGAGGGTCGCCCAGACACCCGAGGTACAGACGACAACAACATCTTCCTGTCCTTCCTGTACGACTTGCCAGAGGAGGTCGAACTCGAGAAGGTCTCCGAGACCTTGGCCAGCTTCGTCGAGCGACACGGTCCTCGACTCTTCCGTCTTCGAGTCACCAATGCCGAGATTCGCCTCGTCCTCACTCAGAAGGGAGAGCGCCTGCCTCTGCGATTCTTCGTCTTCAACGAGACTGGTTTCCAGGTCCGCTTCGAAGGCTACCAAGAGCATGTCAGTGACGCGGGTCGAACCACCCTTCGTAGCATCCTCGGACCTGGTCGTCTCAATGGCGAGCTTGCCAACTTCCCTTACGAGCCTCGTGTCGCCTTGCAGACTCGACGTGCTCGAGCTCATGCTCTTCAGACGACCTTCTGCCACGACCTCGTCGCAGTCTTCCGAGAGTCGCTTCGAGCCTCGTGGAAGGGAGCCCCTGGTGCACCCTCCGACCCCCTGCCATCCGTGTCTGAGCTCGTCATCGACGAGGAAGAGGACGTTCTCCGAGAGACGCAGCGTCCTGCTGGTCTGAACAAGATCGGTATGGTCGCCTGGCTGATCACCGCCATCACGCGCGAGTACCCTCAGGGCCGAAAGCTGATCATCATCGCCAACGATGTCACGATCCAGGCTGGATCCTTCGGACCTGCAGAGGACCGCTTCTTCGCTGCTGCATCTAAGCTGGCACGCCAGATGAGGATCCCTCGACTCTACGTCTCTGCCAACTCGGGAGCACGAATCGGTCTTGCCAGTGAGCCAATGGGACTATTCAAGGTCAAGTTCCTTCGTGATGACCCCTCCAAGGGCTTCGAGTACCTTTACCTCGACGATGCTGGACTTCAGACCTTGACAAGCAAGGCTGCTGGCAGTGTCATCACTGAGACCACCACAGCTGCCGATGGCACTAACCACCATGTCATCACAGACATCATCGGTCTTCAAGAAGGACTCGGTGTCGAATGTCTGTCCGGCTCTGGTCTCATTGCTGGCGAGACATCTCGTGCTACCCAGGAGATCTTCACCGCCACTATCGTCACTGGCCGCAGTGTCGGTATCGGAGCCTACCTTGCCCGACTGGGTGAGCGAGTCATCCAGGTCGAAGGATCGCCCATGATTCTTACTGGATACCAGGCCCTCAACAAGCTCCTTGGAAGGGAAGTCTACACGAGCAACCTGCAGCTGGGTGGTCCTCAGATCATGTACCGAAATGGTGTGTCTCACTTGACTGCCGCCGACGACATGGCTGCCATGAGGGAGTTTGTCCGATGGCTCTCGTACATCCCAGAGGCCAAGGGAGCCGCCCTGCCTCTGACGATTGGTAACAACGACACTTGGGACCGTCCCGTAGGCTACAGCCCACCCAAAGGCCCCTACGACCCTCGATTCCTGCTCGAAGGCACCACCGGCGAGGACGGCAGCTACCTTAGCGGTATCTTCGACAAGGGCTCCTGGACCGAGACTCTGGCTGGCTGGGCTACCTCTGTCGTCGTTGGCCGAGCCCGTCTAGGTGGTATCCCTGTCGGTGTCATTGCAGTCGAGACGCGCACACTCGAGCGAGTGGTCCCGGCCGACCCTGCCAACCCCAACTCGAATGAGCAGCGAATCATGGAAGCTGGTCAAGTCTGGTATCCCAACTCGGCTCACAAGACTGCTCAGGCCATTGCCGATCTCAATCGCGAGGGCCTGCCGCTGATGATCTTGGCCAACTGGCGAGGATTCTCTGGTGGTCAAGAGGACATGTTCCAGCAGATTCTCAAGTTTGGTTCGATGATCGTCGACGGCCTGGTCGCCTTCAAGCAACCCGTCTTCGTCTACCTGCCACCCGGCGCTGAGCTACGAGGTGGTGCTTGGGTCGTTATTGACCGCACCATCAACGAGAATGGCATGATGGAGATGTACGCAGACCCTACCTCTCGCGGAGGTGTCCTGGAGCCTGAAGGGATCGTATCCGTCAAGTACCGACAGGACAAGCAGCGCGACACGATGGCTCGACTGGACCCCAAGTACGCCGAGCTGGTGGCAGCTGGCGACAAAGCCGGCATTGTCGCTCGCGAAAAGGAAGTTGGACCCGTCTTTGCTGCCGTTGCGGTTGCGTACGCCGACCTGCACGACAAGACCGGTAGAATGGCTGCCATGGGCGTCATCAGGCAAGCTGTTCCCTGGGCCGAGTCCCGACGCTACTTCTACCAGCGATTGCGTCGCAGGCTCCTGGAAGAGTCGTACGTCTCCACCATTCGCGGTGCTCAGCCCAAGATGTCTGCCAGCGAGGCTCGCGCCTTCTTGGAGAATGTCATCCAGGTGGGACTGGAGGACGTCGACGACCCAACGATTGCTGGTCTGCTAGAGCAGAAGAAGGACGCTCTGGAGGGTGCCCTGAAGGACCTGCGGAGGAAGTTTGCGCTGGACAAGATCAGCGAGCTAGCCCTGGGTCTGGATGAGGCAACAAAGCAGAAGCTGATGGCTGCTTTGGATGGACAGCAGCAGTAGACGCATTGCGCGACATGGATGTTTCGTATCTTTTTCCCCTCACACGTTCCATTACTAGACGTCTCAAGGTCCGGGTTCAGCCGGCCACCTGTGTTCCTTACACTTCACACGTTTCTCTCCCGTCATCTCTTTCCTGTCTCCTATTCTTGTCTTCTGTTTCTCGTATCTTCTGTTCGTTGTCGTGACCAAATGAGATGATCGCACTCTACCATTGCCTGTCTGTCTGCCCGCCGTCGTCGTCGCCTCTGCACTGCGCGCCTTGGTCCGAGGCCGACCCGATGCGACGGGGCTGCACGTCAAAAATTTTGAGGCGCACGTCCGCACATCGATTGAGAAGATCAAGGTGATCCTTCAGTTGCACCTCTGCTTCGCTAGTCTACCCTCGGTACTCAAGCAGTTTACCTCCATCACACCTCGTCCCACATCCAAGGCATGAGCGACATCTCCAGAGAAGACGAGGAGCGTCACTCCGATTCATCCTTTGACGAGGCTGACGATCAGGACTGGGCCGATTGGGTTGACGATGAAGATGTCGATGCCCAGCGAGCTTCCAGCGCAGGTGGTAGTAAGACCAGCACCGGCAACATCACCTACGACCCTCTTTCCTCCAACTCTGCTCCCTCTTCTTCTGCGACTACTGGACAGGGGTCGTTCAGAGTTCCTACGAGGGCGCTGTTCGCTGATGCAAAGGGACAGTATGAGATCTTTGATTCACCCGTGCTTGCATTGAGAAGGGCTAAAGAGCAGGAGGGGTGCGATGTTGTCGCTGTGGTCAAGAAGCTTGGTGAGTAGAAAAGGAAGCTATGGAGACTTGTGGGCATTCTTCTGACGTTGAGCTACATGACTCCACAGGTTTGGACGCTCTGCAGGTAATCCGTCTAGTCAATCACATCAGGAGGAACAATCTGCCTCCAGCAGCCGTCAGTGGATTGACTGGTGCAGAGCCTTTCCTCAATGATGATTCTGAGCTCGCTCCTGTTGCAGGTCTGGAAGACGATGGACTTCTACAGCTCGATTTTGACGAGCTAGAAGTACAGGGAGAAGCAGGGCAGCAGGCCTCGTCTAAGGACGCTTCTTCTACTGGCAATCTGCATCGCGTACAGGAGCTCGAGGAGGAGTTGGCAGCTATGCGTCTTGCCTTTGAGGATCTGCGAAAGCAATACAGCTCGCGCATTGGACTTGACTTGGATGCGGCCGCCGAGGGTAGCACCAAGGGCAAGTCAAGAGCAAGTGAGACGAGCCCCATTGCCGGTAGCAGCCGGACTCACAACTCCTTTGAGTCTCCTTCTACCTCTGGCACGGGCGCGACTGGAAAGAGGGACGACGATACCCACTACTTCAACTCGTACGCCTCCAACGATATTCACCAGACGATGCTGGAGGATTCGGTCCGGACGTTGACCTATGCCAAATTCCTCCTCTCACCACGCAACGCCGCCTTTATCCGGGGCAAGACGGTCATGGACGTAGGGTGTGGATCTGGAATTCTTTCCCTCTTCTGTGCTAGAGCTGGAGCTAAAGAAGTGCTGGCCATTGACGCCTCGGATGTGGCGGATCGGGCGAGGGGAAACATTGAGGCTAATGGCTGGGGTCATGTCGTCAAGGTTAAGAAGGGCAAGCTGGAAGATTTGGGAGAGGAGCTGAAGCCTTACGAGGGGAAAGTGGACTTGATCGTATCAGAGTGGATGGTGAGTCGCTGCAGAATTGAGTCCGCGCTCGAGCTCTGCTCTGTCCAGCACAGGGCCTGGACTGACATTTCCTGTCTCCTCCCTCCTTTCACAGGGTTACTTCCTTCTCTATGAGAGCATGCTCCCCTCTGTCTTGGTCGCACGAGACTGCTACCTGAACCCTTCCACTGGTCTTCTCGCCCCTTCTCACTGCCGTATGCTGCTAGCAGCCGTCTCAGACGCCGCCTTTCTACATCAACGGATCAAGTTCTGGGATGACGTGCACGGCTTCGCCATGCCTGCCATGTCCAAAGGTCTCGAGGTAGACGCCTACACCGAGGGTCTCTCCAAGGACAAGCTAGTCAGCTCCGTCGCGAGCGTCTTTGATCTACCACTGCAGACGATGCAAGCTAAGCAGCCCTCCTTTGTTGCCCCTTTTACTCTCGAGGTGACTCAAGAAACGACTGTCCACGGCTTCTTGAATTGGTTCGACACATGGTTCGTACCTCTCCCACACCCTGCCCTGCCTAGCAGCGAAAAGGAGCCGGGAGAGAAGAGAAAGGAGCTCAAAGGTGGTGAGGTCATTTCCGGTCTGCCCCCCGTCACCACACGACCAGTGACCGAGGCAGATGTAGAGGGAATTGCCCTCAAGGGTCGTGAGGAGCAGCGGCTCCCTACTTCCGAAGAGGAGCGCGCAGGTGGTGAAACCGTCTCCTTCACTACTGGTCCCGAGGGCAAGGAGACGCACTGGAAACAGACGGTCCTCCTCCTTAAAGAGCCACTGCAGGTCACTGCCGGAACGCTCATCACTGGTACCATGCACGTGGTTCCTTCGACGGTCAATTCTAGAGAGCTGGACGCGGAGATTCACTGGGTTGTGAGGAGCAAGGAGGAGCATGAGGCCAGATTGAGGGGAGAGATCAAGAAGGTCGAGACGATGACTGTACAGGTTTGGGCTGTGAGATAGATGAGTAGGCGAGCACACCGGCGAGGCATACCATGTTAGAGGTCGGGTTGAGAAGATCATTTCATTGCAATGTAAAGATCACTTGCTTTGCACACTGGGTCACAAAGGAATCCCTCTCATATCTCTAGCTACAACTTCACTTTCTACCGCAGCCCGTAGGCAATATGAAACGTCGACAGTGACGCCTTCTAGAGCTCCTCGTGCTTGAGCGTCTCCTCTTCGGTCGCCGCGACTGACTTTTTGCCCTCGCCAGCAGAGCTACTCTTGCTACCACTAGCGCTCGCAGCATTGCTGCTGGCAGAGCTGGAGCTAGGCCTCGTCTTGGGTATCCTCCTCTTCTTGAGCTTAGTAACCTTATCTAGCAACTTCCTCGCCCTCTTCTCTGCCTCATCCACCTTCCACGCAGGCTCTTCTTCGCGCTTCTTCTTCTCTTGCTCCTTGCTGACCTTGGTGAACCAATCCTTGTCACCCTTGAGGGAAGATTGGAGAGAATCTAGATCGGTGCGAGAGTAGCGAGAAGAAGTGCCCTCGGTGATGGCTGCCGTGAGGTTGGTGTTGGCCTCGGTGAGGAACTCCTCGGTGAGATCGAGGGCACGCTGCATTCGCTTCGCGGCGCCAGATCGTCCACGAGCTTCGACCATCCTGCCCTCGATGGGGGTGACGAGCTGCTCCAGTGAGCTGAGACGCTTCTTCAGATCCTCGACCGTCGTGCGATCGCTCTCCCCACCGCCGCTGCTGAGCCACTCGGAAGTCTCCGAAGAGGCAGACTCAATCTTACTTCGCTCAGCAGAGGTAGAAGACTCTTCGAAAGTCTTGTCTCCACCCGAAGCCAACTCGCGCATCCGGTACACGTACGCCTCGAGCTTATTGCGGTACTCCTCGCGCTGCAACTTCCGACGAGCAGTGGCATCAGCCAAGTAGAGCTTGTCCTGGGAGACCTTCTGCGCCGCGCCAGACATGGGCTTGACTGAGCCTTGCGGGATGGTCTGCACTGTCAGACGAATGTGCTTATCGTGCAGGAGGTCAGCCGTCTCGGCGGATGGCGTTGTTTCGTTGACAGCGGCAGCGGCGGTATCGTTGGTCGCTGAGTCGCTGTTTGAATCGGCGGCGGCGGTATCATCTTCCTTGTCCGACTTGGCGCTGAAGAAGCTGCGAAGGGCCCCAACCACACCTCCTCCCTTCTTTGGCTTGACGATCAGCCAAGCGCTTTGCACGACCACGGTGCCCAGCGGCCTCTGCACAAAGGTCACGTTGACCGAGGTCTCCACCTTGTTCAGATCACCTGCTGCCTTCAGCGCGCTGAGGGTAGTGTCGATCTCTTCCACTTCAGCCCTGTACAGTGGCCTGCCAAAAGTGTCCAGCTTGCCTTCTGCAGCAGCCTCTGCGCCATAGCCAATCTCGAAGCCAAAGTCGGTGTACACTCCCTCATAGTAGCGATGCTTGTACTCTTGCTCCAAAGTCTCTGGGCTTCCCTTCCACAACTGATCTTCCGTTCCTTCCGAGTCGGTCAAGACAACCGAGTAAGGGTTGATATCTGCGACTCGGACGGGCTTCATCTTCAGCTGTGGGTTGAAGCTAGCGCCATAGAATCCTGCACCTAGAGCCATGGCTTCGTCAGCATTGAGATTCTGTGCCACAAGGCTCGCAGGAACGCCTGCCTGAGCTACCGATTTCTGGACGAGCGGCACACGCGTGTTGCCTCCGATGAAAATGACCGATGTCAAGTCAGACAGTTTCGCCTCTCCTCGCGTAAGAGCGTCCGAGATGGGCGAGCTGAAGGACCCGCCGAGTCCCTTTGCTTCAACAGCAGCCTCGAATTCTTCTCTGGTGACTGTAGCTCTGAAGTCGACGTCTCCAATGAGACCCTCGATGGAGACTCGAGCGTCTTGATTGGCAGAGAGCACATGCTTAGCCTTCGAGGCGGAGGCGAGCAGCTTCGCCATCGCTCTTGCATTCTTCGCCACATCATCTGACTTCTTTGACTCCTTGTACTTCTCAACTAAAATCTCCCTCAGAATCTCATCGAGAGCCAATCCTCCAGCTTCGCGCGACCAGCCGGTGGAGAGGACTTCGATGAAGGTGTGTTCCTTCATCGATGTGCCAAAGAGGTCCTCCGTCGGGAAAGACTTGGTGGAAAACCGGACCAGAGATGCCCTAGTAGCGGAGTGACCGGAATCGTAGAGCAGGTGGAGCTCAGGAGTCGCAAAATTTCTGGTCAAGGCGAGCGATGTGGCAGCAGCTGCAGCATCGCTGACCAGACGAGGTCTGAAGCCAGCCAGAGTGGCAGCGTCGAAGATGGCCTGTCGCTCCGCTGCCGTCCAGAAGGTGGGGACTGTCACTACTGTCTCAAGGCCGCCGTAGCTACCGATGGTGCCAGGATATGTGACCTTGACCTTCTCTCCGGCAGTCTCCTCTGCAAGCATACGGGCATGAGAGAGCTGCATGGCGACCATCTCTTCGACGGTGTGCGTGTCTGGTCCGGAACCATCCTTTGTGTAGTCGGTTGCGCGCGTGGCTGCAATGGTACCCCTGTCGGTAGAAACGAGCTGCGAGCCCAGCAATGCTGTGTATCGATCCCGGAGCTGCTGATCTTGCTCATCGGCAGACCTTCCCAGCAACAGTTTGAGATCAGGGAAGGAATCTCCAGGGTAGCGTGTTGCGAGGTTACTTGCGTCTGTGCCAAAGGAGCGATCAGCCATCTTCCAGGCCACCACGGAGGACAGCTTTCGCTTCGAGTCGCGTGTGAGTACCACATCTGGCGTCATGCCCGGCTTGATAAGAGCCGTCTTGAGCGAGTCGGCGCCATAGTCGAAGGATATGATACCCAGGGAGAGGACCGGCGAGACGATGAAGCATAGAGCGAGGAGCAGAGTGGCCAGGAGCGGAAGGCGGCGTGAGGATGCAGCACTGCTCTTCGGCGCGCCTTTGCTCGGCCTCTTGGCGGATGAGCTGTACCTTGGCTGAGTGGTGGCCATGACGGTGATCACCATGAGCCGAGTCAGAATGATGATGCCGTGGCAGATACGGGAGGGAAAAGGTAAAGACGGACGAGGGACTGACTGGCAAGTTGGCCGTAGGGACGAGGACGAAGGCCAAAGAGCAACACCTCCCTGCCTCCCTTTCTTCGCTCCACGTCGCCATCACTCAGGCGCGCACGCAAGGGCAATCGGGACAAAAGCCGGAACGGAAGACGGAAAGAAGAAGTGGACCTCTGAAATTTATGAATTCCCGCCCAGAAGTGGCCACGGACACGCAGGCCACCAAGGTCACCATTACTCACCAAGCCATCCCATATCGTCCTGATTCCCCTCGATCCTAGCTGCCTGCATCGCTCGTCATGGAGCGAGGCTATGGTAGAGCCAACGGAGGTGGCAAGAGCCAGGAAAAGGGCAAAGACAAAGCCCGACCAAGGCCACGGCAACCTATGAGTAGAGAGGTCGCCTTCCATAAGAACAAGGCTCGCGCCAGAGAGGAGGCCCAGGCCAGGCTACGCAATGCTGGCGGACCATCCTCATTCAGTACCACTCCCGTTGCTTCTACCTCCAAGGCATTGGAGAGCACACGCAAGATCTTCGAGAATCCTCATCCGTATCGGTACAAGTCTTTTAATGACCGCCTCGCTTCCGTACACATTGGGGCTTCCAGCAGTCTCACCTCCGGCAGGGGCTCTACGATGGCCGGTCTTGACGTGCAAGGCGTGGCTCCCAGTGCGCCTGTCACTGACATTGATGACGATTTCGATGACTACGATGAGGAGGCTCGCATGGCTATCCTACTCGCCTCTACTGCCTTCGGGTCCGCTCTCCTCACCTGGAGAGAGCTGAATCTTACTGTGCCCTTCCAAAAGCTGCTTCGGGAGATCACCTCGCGGTCGCAATCACTGCCACAGCTGATTCATCATCGATCTCACATCGTTTCTGCCCTCTCGTCGACTCTTCGCAGCAAGAGCTCAGATGCCCACCTCGCATATGAACCCGCCCTTGATCTCTTCCCTCGCCTCGCCCTGGATCTGGGATCTGAATTCCTGCCCGTCTACCCAGAAGCGTTGGAGGCCATGCTACAGACTACGATGATCAGCAAGAACGCCACAGGCGGCGACGAGAAGATGGCAGCCAGGCTAGTGGAAAAGGCATTCGAGATGGTAGCAGCCCTCTTCAGGAATGTGGCGCCGCTCATTGTCAAAGGACAAGGAGGGCGCGACTGGTTGCAAGAAACCTGGGGCATTGTGAGGCCATATCTGGGCTACTCTGCCTGCGCGATGGACGTAGATGATGAGCAAGAAGAGGAAGAATCCCCAGAAGATGACAACGCAGTGTCGTCAAACTCTAAGCCATCCCCACCTCGCATCCCATCTCATGTCCGCAGGTTCGCGGCAGAGGCGTTTGCTCATCTGCTCCGCCGAGCCAAGCAGCCGCAACTCGTGCAGTCTGCCGCTTTCATGCTCAGCGATGTTGAAGAGGTGCTTTCGAGCGCCAGCGCAGGGAGGGAGGAAGAGGAGCAGGGTCATGGGCGCTCTTCCGGAGCCTTTGCTTCAGGTGTCGCCGGCATCTGGCTCGAAGTGGTGAAATCGGTGGATCGCCGCCTACATAGCCAGGCAGTCCCGCAAATCACTGCTCTCGTCTTCCGCTCAGATGTGGCACCTTCGCAAGCTCAGACAGTCGTGGGTAAGCTGCTCTTCACGGCTCTCGTACATCACGGACAAGCGGCCCATCTTGCTCCTGTATTTGAGCTTCTTATACAGACAGCTGATGAACGACTGTCGGCGTGTCAGGCTGAGCCCAGTGCAAAAACTCAAGAAGCTCTGCTTCAATCGCTCGTTTGGTTGATCGCAGCTCTGGGCACACGGAAAGGCAATCGAGTCGATGAATCTGCGAAGACACCCCTCTTTGCCCTCCTTTTGGGGCTTGTGCAAACATTCGCCGACTCCAAAGACAGCGCAATGTCCTCCGCTTTGACGGTGCTACTATCTCTCACTCTTCCCATTGGTCGGATACCGGATCTTGTTGGTCCCGGCATCAGAATCGTTGACATCCTGACCAAAGGTCGCGGAGAGAATGGTGCTCTATCGCAGGCCTTTGTTGCATGTGTTCTCGCGCTGGCAGATCCTTCCATCGCCTGGCCAGGATTCAAACAATGCGTCCTACCACAAGTGCTTACCGCCACCATGCAAGCGGCAGGATCCTCCTCGAGTCCTTCAGCAAAGGACGCGGCCTTTCGCCTTCTCAACGATCTGAGTAAATCGGGTCAACTCGACTCCATTGCCCAGGACAACTCCAACGAGTCTCCCAAGATAGCGCGTTGGAGAACTACAGTAGGCAGCGAGCTCGGACATCGGCTCGATCGTTTAGCCGAGCTAATAGCTTCACCACACTCTGCCGAAGTGACTCAGGAGCTCGAGAGACTAGTCCCTGCTCTTGGTCTAGTGAAGCTTTTTGCCAGGACAGAGTATGCAGAGAGCATCGCAGAATCTATCAGGTCGGGGGTCGCATCGCTGCTTACTTCGGCGCTGTCCTCGACTGACGAGGTCGAAACAAGGTTCAATGCTTCAGTCTCGAATTCCTTGGCAGTGCTGGGCAGTCTCCTATCAGCGCTCGCCAGCATGGTCTCAGAGGCAACAAATCAAGCTCGAGCGCATGAACTGATTGGTGGGATCACCAACAACTCGCAGCTTGTCGCAGCAGTGACACAATTACTTCCCCAGCATCGCTACGCCCTGTCCGCCGCAGTGGAAATCTTCACGATTGCATCAGCGAAGTCGGCCACAAGACAGGGTGTGCTACCCCCACCCGAAGAATGCGTTCAGAACTTCTGGCCCAGTCTCATGGCTGAAGATGAGGACCTGAGACGGGCTAGTGCACAATGGCTGACATTATGTGGACACAATGCGGCCGTTGAGAACCAGGAGCTGTCGGAGCTGTACTCCTTGATCAGCAAGATCGAGGATATACCATTGCGAGTCGAGACCGTCAGAGATCGCAATGTGAGACTGAGATCTCTGGTCAGGGAGTTGCTCCGCCTCGCAGCTCACAGCGACACTGAATCCGACGCCCGGAGAACGACACAGCTGGAAATGACAGCAAAGACTGTCTGTCGGTACGTCGTGAGCACGTTAAAGCTGAACTTCAAACCTTTGTGGGAAGAAGCAAGAAAGGCTTTGGCCGACATGAGTGGTAGATATGCTGCTCTAGTCTGGGAAGTCGCTTTCGAAGAGCTCACTGCCAGTCGCGGTCCCAAAATGCTTCCGAGCAGCTGGCTAGCCGAGGATGGTTGTCAGCGTGCTGTGTCTTACCCGGCTCTGCAAGATGACCTTGACGAAGACTCAGCAGATGAACATAACAAAGCCTTCCGCGACCCCCAGAGGACACAGCGGACTGCGCTTATCCTAGGGATTTGGGAGAAGGCCTCGCAAGAGGTAGCATCGCAAACGCGCCAGGTGCTCAAAGAGCTGCAAGCCCCTGCCGGTAGATTAGACGTGGCCAACTACCACGGTCAGATCCTCATCTTGTTCTCCGAACAGCCTGCAATGGTGGAGAAGCACAACGCTGCATTTGTGCAGCACTTCTTCTCGACTGTTGTAGACGATGACGCCCAGAGGCGAGGTGGGGACGCTGCCGACATCGACGATGAAATGGAAGACAAGAGCAGCTCTCGAGAGGTCAAGCAGTCCTCGAATGTAGCATCTCTGAGCTTGAGGCAGCGACAAGAACGAGTGCACTCCTACCTCGAGGTCTTTAACAAGTTCTCAAATCCCAAGGCGCTCTTCCGATCTAGTGGTCTTCACGAGTATTTCTACTCCCTGATGGCTCAAGGAGAGAGCAAAATCCAGACTCTTGCTCTCCAATGTGTGCTGACCTGGAAGGATCCGGCCCAGCTCAAGTACGAAGAGCGGATGTTCAGGCTACTGGATCAGAGCAAGTTTAGAGATGAGTTGACATCTTTCGACTTGGCATTGGGCGGACAAGCTATCCAAGAGGAGCATCGAGCGAGCTTGATGCCCCTCCTGATCCGACTACTCTTTGGATCAATTGTGTCGAAGAAGGGCCGTAGCAGTGCAAGCACAAGCGGCGCCGGAAGAAAAGTTGCGATTCTGAACGCACTGTCCGGATGTTCCTCTGCCGAGCTGGGAATTCTGGTAGACCTGATGCTTGGGCCTTTCCAGGATCAAGTCCCAGATGTCCAAGGCAGCAAGATGGCGATCTCTCAGACTCCTCCTCAAGCCTTCCTCCGACAGCAGAATGGACTCTTGTCCCTCCTGGCAGATGTCGTTAAGCATCTTGGTGCACAATTGATAGCGCACTGGTCGCGCTTGGTAGGCGTCACTATCAATCTTGCTCATCACAGCTCAGCGAGAGCAGCTGAGCAAGGACCTGGAAAAGCGTCTGCCGTGTCTCGAGATGTGCGACAAGCAGCCATCCGCCGTTTGGCAGACTTCTTCAAGTGCCCCGCTTCCCCTCAATTCGACTGGACGGCATACATGCCAGTCATCTTCTCATCGCTCGTCTCCCCGCGTCTGGAGTTGTTTTCCTCAGAGAACACCCAGAGTCCTTCAGCTCTGCTCGAGCTGTTTAACATCTGGTCAGCCAAGCAACAGTTTCTGCCGTTGTTGGTGAAAGGTGACCAGCGAGTGTTGCCGAGTCTCTACTCCTGCTTGGCAGTGCCTACGGTCAAGAATCCTGTCGTGGTCCCGATCCTGGATATCGTCGAGCGCATCTTGGACAGCGCAGAGGATGCTTCAGAGGACAATCAGTCGGGCATCGACGTCACGCAGGCAAAGATGGTGAAGGACGAGGTGCTCAGACCCTTTATCTCCTCTCTCGTGTCGAGTCTGAGCCCGCTGCTCCAGAGGACTTCTTCAGCTGCACAGCCGGATCACATTTTGCAAAGAGCAATCGGTTTGCTCTCCCGCATTGCAGTGTTCGTCGAAAAATCAGACGATGCTACGCTAGTATTGGACCTTCTTGGGCCCATGCTCCGAAAGAGCAATCGAGTTGTCCCGGAGAAGAGCAAGACGGAGCTGTTGTCCACCTTCAGAGACTTGCTGTTGCTGACAGACACCTTCAAGGACCCTCAGTCCGACATCTTTACACGTCACTACGAGCTATTCTCCTCAATGTGGTCTACTCTCCGCTCTCGAGCTGCCCGTCAAAGTCTAGGCACTGTCTTCAAGCAGATTGCGCTCGTCGACGGCAGCCTTGGACGCGTCGCAGGATGGGTTGAGGCACTGAATGCATTCAGTGTCCGGAGGCTGGACGAAGTTGACTTCGATCAGCGACTGGACGTTTTCGACGCCTTGACCAGCAAAGGAGAGGAATTGACGCCGCGTGAGTGGCTGCCAATCTTGCACAACATGATCTTCTTCATTCAGGATGGAGAAGAATTGGTCATTCGAAGTAATGCTAGTGCTGTGCTGCGAAGTTACGTGCAAGCAGTAGCAGACGAGAAGGAGGAAGGCCCCCTCCGTAGTCTTTTCACTCGCATCGTGTACCCTGCTCTCCGAAAGACACTCCGTTCTCGCTCCGAGCCCGTGAGGAGGGAAGTCGTCTCGGTCATCGGCGCTGCTGTCAAAGATCTGCCTCACGTGGCGGCCCTCTCAGAGATGCAGGGTCTTCTCGCAGCTGGCGACGAAGAGGCCAACTTCTTCAACAACATTCACCACATTCAACTTCACCGCCGCTCCAGAGCGCTGCGACGACTCGCGGAGCATGCAGAGGGCGGAGAGTTGAGGAGCAAGTCGATCTCCGAGGTCTTCTTACCCCTCATTGGGCACTTCCTTGAGGCTGGTCATACGGAGATCGGTGATCACAACCTCGCCAATGAGACTTTGAGCTGCATCGGACGGCTCACCAGGCAACTACAGTGGGGATCGTACAATGCGTTGCTCTGGAAATACCTAAGGCTCGCCGATGGCAAGTCTGCCGGCGAGAAGATTTATGTCCGAGCAGCTATGGCCATCTTGGATAATTTTCACTTCGGTATGGAGGACGTTGTGCCTGCTGAAGAGGAAGCAGTCGAGGATCAAGAGGATGCCGAGGTAGACGGCGCAGTCGAAGACGAAGCCGCGGTAGCTGCTCGAGCTCAGGAGGCCGCGGCCGAAAAGGAAAAGCACGCTGCGCAATCGCAGAAGATTGTGACTTCAGTCACAGCGAAGCTGCTGCCTGCTTTGATGGGCTACCTCGAGCATCATGATGACGAGACAGATGATGCTCTACGCCTGCCGATCGCCGTCGGTGTGGTAACAGTGGTAGAGTGTCTACCTTCTGCTGAGAAGGAGGTTCAGCTGGGCAAGTTGCTTAGTGTCCTAGCAAATGTCTTCCGAAGCAAGTCACAGGAGACAAGAGACCTGGCTCGAGAGACGTTATGCAAGATCGCTGTCGCTCTAGGTGCAGAGAGATTGCCTCAGATTGTGAAGGAGCTCCGGCGTGCTCTGACTCGGGGCCCACAGCTAGCTATCCTGGCCTACAACATCCACTCGATTCTGGTGCATCTAATGCAACACGAGGCTTCTCCCCTCACTTATCTTGATCGTGGTGTGGAAGACATGATCGCAATCGCCGGTGAGGACCTGTTTGGTCACACGAGCGAAGACCGTGAAGCTACAGACTACAAGATCAAGGCGCGAGAGATGAGGCAGAGCAAGAGTCTCGACACCTTTGAGCAGCTGGCGAAGATCATCGCACCTCACTGTATCAATGCTCTGCTGGCTCCGCTAAAGACCATCATGGAGCAGACTGAAGCGCCTCGGTCCATGAAGGCTGTGGAAGACGCTCTGAGAAGGACAGCATCGGGCATCAACTCCAATGGACACTTTGACTACACGTCCCTGTTGGGGCTCTGCCATAGTACTATCACCAGCAACTCTTCCTTCCTTAAAGCGCGAGCTGGCGCAGCTAAAGGCCAGGGCTCGGCGCCCAAGCAGGACGTACTTCTGATGAAGCGCAAAGACGTCGAGGCTGGAGTATCAGTGCGGGATCACTATGCTGCAAATGCATATCGCTTCGTGGCCTTCGGCCTCGACCTTCTCGTTACTGCTCTTCGCCGGTCCCGCTTCGACTTTGCCGACAAGGAGGTGCTGGGTCGCTTGGACCCGCTGGTGAATGCTGTAGGTAACACGCTATACGCTGCAGACACTCATGTGGTCACCCTGGGTCTGCGAGCGACGGGTGCCCTGCTTCGATGCCCACTGCCCTCGATCGAAGCCAGTCTGCCAGTCCTCACTCGTCAGACGCTCTCAGTCATCAATCGTGAAGCCAATCCAGCTGCGGATGCCTCTCAAGCCGGCCTACGCACTGTGACGATCATTTTGCGAGACTGTCCCAAGGCGGACTTCAAGGAGAAACAACTAGCGGACCTCCTCGCTCTGACTCTTCCCGAGATCGAAGAGCCGGCTGCTCAGTCGTCCATCTTCGGTCTGCTGCGAGCGATCATCGGCCGGCGCTTCGTGGTGCCCGAAGTGTACGAGGCAATGGACAAGGTGGCGGAGATGATGGTCACGAACCAAAGCTCGCAAGTGCGCGAGATCAGTCGAGCTGCCTTCCTGCAATTCTTGCTAGACTATCCTCAAGGCAAGGGTCGATTGCGCAATCAGATGGAGTTCCTCGCCAAGAACCTCTCGTACGTCTATGAGAGTGGACGATTGAGCGTTATGGACCTGCTTGCTGCCGTGCTGGCCAAGTTCAGCGATGATGTCCTGGCAGACTACGGTCAGCTCCTCTTCGTGGGCCTAGTCATGGTGCTGGCCAATGACGACTCCTCAAAGTGCAGAGAAAAGGCTGCCGAGTTGACGCGGACGCTCATCGGCCTCATTAGCGAAGAAAAGCGGGCGGGCCTGATCCAGATGGCTCATGCTTGGGCAGAGTCTACTGAGCGGGCGGACTTGTCCCGGGTCGGTGTGCAGGTCTACGGCCTCTTTCTTGAAGCGGTGCCTGACGAGGCTAGTAGCTGGACGCCCAAGGCTATGCGAGTTCTCCGTGGCGTAATCATTAGCTGCGCTGACGATCTAGAGGAGCTCGAGCATGCAGACGAATTTGCTGCAATGGACATGGATCTGGACTGGCAGCTACCTTACCACGCTCTGCAAGCCATCAGCAAGCTAAGCAAGGTCGAGCCAGCCCTCCTGGCAGGGTCTGGCAAGGACGTGTGCTCAACCTGGTCTGCCATTCGTCGACTGCTGCTCTTCCCTCATGCGTGGGTACGCATTGCCTCGTGTCGCCTCATCGGCAGCCTCTTCGCCACCACGCAGCCCGTCCAGCCGACACACTCGAGCGGTGGTGTTAAGGCAGCCGCTGCTCTCGATCCCTTGAGTCTAGAAGCTCTCATCGAGTCTTCACGTAAGCTTGCCTTGCAGCTGCGAGGCGATGTCGTAGACGATGCTCTGGGGCTTCAGATCGTCAAGAATCTCCTCTGGATCGGTCGCAGCTTTGCCAGCGTGCCTGTCAGCGAGAGAGAGACGAATGGGAAGGCCAAGAAGAAGAGAGCCAGCACTGTCGAGGCGGAGCAAGATGGAGAGACCGACGAAGAGGGTAGTGAGGTCGACTCCGAAGCAGATGACGAGGACGACGAGGCGGCGGCGGCAGAGAAGGATTCGGACGCTCTGGAGAACCCTCTAGCATGGCTCTTCACCAAGCTCTCCTATCAAGCCCGTAAAGTGCAAGGTGGCCATGCCACTGCTGATAACCCAGCAGGCGTAGCCACCGAGAGCTCCACGGCCATTCTTCGCTGGTTTGCAGCAATGGCGCAACACCTCTCCGTATCGCGCCTGCAGACTTTCCTGCCACACATCGTCACTCCTCTCTTCCGTCTCATGGATGACGAGACTTTGCGCGGTCCACGCGTAGAAGCACTCAAGACGCTCGCCTCTGAAGTCCAGGAACTCCTGACTGAAAAAGTAGGAACGACGAATTATGCTGCAGTGTACTCTCGAGTGCGCTCAAGGGCCCTGGATAGGAGACGGGAGAGGAGGAACAAGAGGTTACTCCAGGGTGTGGCGGATCCTGAGGGGGCGGCAAAGAGGAAGGAGAAGAGGAATGAGGGCAAGCACGAGAGTCGGAAGAGGAAGAATAGAGTGTTTGCGGATGGAAAGGGAAGGATGAAAGGAGCTGGACAGGGAAGCAAGAGAAGTCGACGTGATGGCTGAGCAGGGCGCAGGTGATGCGGTGACGAATTGATAAATGAAAGACACTACGAGACTAGAATGTAGCTTGTGACAGTGACGTAGCTGAGACTGAGTGACTCCCGCAATCCTCTCATTGCTGCTCCTGCTGCTCCTCCTCCTCACCAGCCCTCTTCACCTTCACCTTCACCTTCACCTCCCAAATCTCCACACCACACCAAACCTCCTCCTCCCACTTCAGTGCATCTCTCACTATCCTCCTCAACTTCTTCTGCGACACCCTCGTCAGTTGCAATCCAAAGCGCTGCGCTGCTTCGAGGGAAGAAGTTATAAAGGGAGAGTCTCGCCTTTCGAGTGCAACGAGACCGTGCGTCTCGGGCTGGAGCTCGGGCTGGAGCTCGGCTTGCACTGCGCTGCCGCTGGAGGAGGAAGAAGAAGTGAGGAGGGAGGAAAAGGTACGCCAGAAGGGCTCGACGAGGTGTGGGACGTAGAGCGTGTCGGTTGCTAGCACGAGGTTGATGCGACGAGCCTCGTCTTGAGATGGAGCATTTTCCTCTTCACTTGAGGACGAGGACGAGGATGAGGCTGATGAGTCGGATGCTGAAGAGGTGAGGCGCTGAACCTCCTCCACCGTGCCGGTCCATTGCTCCCAGTCCAGTTCCCTCCGCCTCATCCGCCCTTTCATTCCAAGCCTCTCCAGCACGGCATTTTCCCGGCCATTCTTTTTCATCACTCCCCGCAGCACCTCAGGCAAATCCGTTGCCCGGACATCCCACCCCATATGCGCCAGAAGCACCGATAGGAACCCTACCCCTGCCCCGAGCTCGACTGCTAGCGCTCCTCTTCGGGGATTTCGAGCGTAGCGTGGAGTATGGAGAAGGTAGGCTGCTAGAACTTGTGAGGAGAGCCAGAGAGAGGAGGAGGTGGAGTGAGTTGTGGAGGATTGGTGAAGGGTGAGGGTGAGATCTAGGGTGGACGATGGAGACATCACGAGGGAGGAGGAGCGGGGTGTCAGACGAGGCACGCTGAGCTCAATCTCAATAGCGGAAGCTACTGACTTAGCTCGGGAACGTTGTACTGGAGTACGTCGAGGTGCTTTGTATCGTATGCTGGGCGATTCACGACCTTTGCCGCATCATAGAGTGCTGCTTCCTCTTCTGCGCTTTCGTCTGGCCCGCTCGCATCTGCCCATCCTCCCTCGAGCTCAGGAGGGCATTGTTGACTTGACTGATCTTGTGATTGGGATTCAGGGTGAGCCTTAGTGCCTCTTGACTTGCCCTTGCCCATGGGATTCCCTCGTACCGCGTCCGAGGCCTTGATGTAGATTGATGAAGCTCGGCTACATTTTCAAGCCCTGATTGTGCTCCGCTGCGTGTTGCACCGCCCCTCAGCATCCTCCTCCACGTGAGGAGTACTTTCTTCCTAGACCGCTCGCCTAACCTCCTCATGTGCCTTCGCCTTACAGGGTCAACATAGCCCCTCTTACTTGCCGACGTAGTGATTGTACTGCATCACCATGGCAGCCAGTGTACCAGTGGCTACAAGCAGTGTGCTCCTGATCCCTCCAGAGCTAAGCGTAGCCGTCTTGTACACTGCCATCTCACTTCCAATATGCAACAGCACAATGACAAATGTAGCCATACAAATCTCATACACCTCCTTGTTGGTGATAGAGTATGCAGCATAACAGCGTACCACGGCGGCAGTGAGGGTCCAGAAGGAGTAATGGCGCGTCTGCAGTGGGGTGACTTGAGATAGACCCTTGTTTGTGGAGTAGGATTTCCGAGAAGAGGCGGTGCTGAAGAGACCGGTGAGGGTGTTTCCTGCGGCGAGAATGGAGACTGCCAGTAGCCAGCGACCCAGATTGGTAGAAGGAAGGTGGAGGGAAGACATTTCAGCGAGGTTTAATGGTGAGGATGATTGTTGATATGAGGGTTCAGGAGGTGGACAGGAAGAAGCATGGTGGGTGAACGCCTCCAGGCGCGCGTGCAGCGACGCGGAAAGGGAGAGAAGCACACTCATCCAAGCGGAGAGGGGCAAAGAAGGATACCGATTGCCCTGACATCGCCACCATCACCACTACCAAGCTCACCTTGGTAGTGTGTCAGTGCTCTTTCTTAGCCTCGCCATCATGGCTACCACTGCTCCTCCTCCCGTGTACCCAGACTACGACTCCATCCCCTCCACGAGCGCTCCCCAGCCACGACCCTCCCGGATCCCTGCTCCCATCCTGCACCTCTTCTCCCTCTTCCCCCTCGTCACTTTCCCTGCTCCTTCATCACACGAGTCCCCACCTACCACTTTACCCCCTGCAATACCGCAACTGAACGTCCTCCCAGGTCATGTCCGTACTGATGCGCAAGGGCAATCTCGCACCACCTGGACAAGCAGGGACGTGCGCTGTCTCACCTCTCAGGTGGAGTTCCTCTTCCGCAAAGTTGATTTTGAGACGAGGCAGCTAGAGCGGGAGGAAGCTTGGGGTCCAAAGGTAAGAGGACTACCTTTTGTGCATCTCCCGCAAGCACGCCCGAGTAGGAGCGGAACGGCCACTCCTCCTGCTGCTGTTGCTGCGAGTTCGGCAGCGCCGCCGAGGCTGCTTGCAGCAGACTCGATACCGACTTGGGTGGAGACGCTGGCTCCCTTTCCCTACGAGCGAGCAGAGACTGGTAGAGAGGCTTCTGAACCCTACCCGAGTCCAACTGCTAAGGCGGAAGCGGAGATGTGGACGACATTGCTGCAAAAGGGAGTCATGGCTGCCGTAGTGAGTGCAACTCGAGCAGGGACTAGGGATCTCATGGTAAGAGTGAGCTGACATTGCGCACATGCACTGGTCCCACTCTAGCTCCTCGCACAACTCTCCTGCGAGACCCCTCCAAGCTCCCACAAGCCCTTCTTCTCATCCCAAGTCCAGTCGCATCTTGCCAATCAATACCTCGCAAGGGAAGGCAATTTGATCAACTCCCTCTCCTCATCTGCTTCTGCCTCCACGTCCCTATCACGGTGGAGCAGCTTTGTGCCTGGTATGAGCTTCTCATGGATAGGCTTGGGCGTGAGTGGGATAGGAAGCAGTAATGATGATGGTGAAGAGGGGACAGGGACAGAGGTAACTTCAGCTGCATGGCCGGAAGAGCTGGATGTCGACGCAGTGATCGCGGAGGGTGTTGATGGGATCCAAGCGGTGGGCAAGAAGATGGCCAGGCAGAGTGATGGGAAAGAGTGGTTCTTGGGAGCTAGGTGAGTCCTCATGGCATTGCAAGACCCACCGCTGATCCCACGAAAGGAAGCTAACCAGCACTGCTCCCTTGTCATGCCAGTCAACCCACATCCCTCGATGCCTTACTCTTCTCCCAGCTGCATACCATCCTGTCCCTCCCTACTGGCACCTCTGACTCGTCAGTTGCAAGGCTTCAAGATGCCGTCAAGGAAGAAGAAGTGCTGGTGCAGTGGACGAAGCGGGTGTATGATGACTTTGTCAAGGCAAAAGAGGTGGAGTGGAGGAATTGTGGAGGGGAGGTGTCAGAGAAGCCGCTGTTGTGAGCGATCTTCATCAATGTGTTTGATCCTCTCCTCAATGTACTTGCACCACTTGTGCTCACCTTACCTTGCGTACCCTGTGGTCATGACTGACTGACCTCCATGATCTGACCCTCTCGAACCTCTGCGTGCGTTCCATTCCGTTCCGCCTTTTCCTCTTGACATCTGGTGACCCAAAAATCGCATTGGCTGTGGCTTGGCTTGGGTGCACGGACGTCCATCTTGCGAGCGATCACGCCTTCCGTCGTTGCTCCCACGTTTGAGAGGCGTGACACCCATTTTTCGCAGTCAGTCGCACCTCACAGCAGGAGCTCATGCTGATGCTCATCGCTCATTGCTAAGAGTCATTCCCATAATCTTCTGCTTTCGACGTTAGATCTTCCACTGGTGTACACGCACTTTGGAGCTATGACTATCCCGCTGTCCAATGGCAATGGCCTCAATGGTCACGCTCTCCCTTCGCAGCAACAGCAACACACCCTCCCTGTCGTCTCGCAGCAGCCCACCCCTTCTACCTCGACTGGTATCGCAAAGATTCTCATCGTCGGAGGAGGACCAGCGGGAATTGTTTCTTTGAGGAACTTTTTGCAGGATGAGTCTGCAGAGGGGGGAAAGGAGGGATTGGACGCTGTACTTTATGAGAGGAGGGAAGAGCTGGGAGGGGTGTGGTGAGTAGGCGGAGTGAGAGTGCGAAACGTCCTCTTCATGACTCGCGACTCACCAGGCCGTCTCCTCACGGATCACTTCACTGCGTACAGGTACCTCGACCCTAGCACTCTGGGCCTAGAGGAGAAGAACGGCTACCCGTCCAACCGCTGGCCCATAGCCACACCCTCACAGCTCCTCTACCCCTCGCCCAGCTACCCAGCCTTGATCGGAAACGTTTTTCCCCGCTTCCTCACCTTCTCCGGCCACCCGTTCGAGAAGCCCGCAGATCAATATCCTACCCTCGAAGAGACCTATCGCTACCTCTCCTCTGTCGCGCGACCACTGAGGAATCATGTCCGCACAAAGAGGGACGTCAGACAGGTCTGGGAGCTTCCCTACCTGCCCGCACTCAGCGGCGAGGAAGGTGCTCTGCCTCGCTCTGGTGGCTGGCTAGTGCATACTGCCGATCTCTCCACCAATCCTCCTACGGACCTCTATGAGCACTTCTCTGCCATCTCCTTTTGTCCCTCCTTCACCACCCACCCTTCCTACCCAAACATCCCCGGCCTAGCAGCAGCCATGCGTCTCGCTCCGCGAAAGATCCACCACGCTAAGTGGTACCGCACCGTCGAGCCTTTTTGGAGGAGCAAGAAAGTCGTAGTGGTTGGGAATGGCCTCTCCAGCAACGATATTGCTGCGCAGATTGTGGGCAGGAGGAGGAGGGAGTGGGGGGAGGAAATGAGAGAGGGCGAGGAGCAGGTGCTCAGGGCGCTGAGGCATGACTATGTCGATATGTTCCCATCGTGAGTACATTGGAGGGATGGGTCGTTGGATGTAGCATCTGCGAGCACATTCTGACGCCAGATAAAACGTTTCTGCTCTCCAGCCTTCCCGATGCCCGCTACCGCGACATCCCGCACGTTACTCGCATCGATCTTCGACCGTCGGATGACGCGTCAGAGCCGTCTCTGGACATCACACTGGCGTCGGGAGAAGTTGTGACGGACGTAGACCACCTGATCTGGGGCACGGGATACCAGATCGGTGTTTACGATTGGGTCAATGTGCTCGCTCGCGAACCTACCCAGTCCGACGTCGCTGCGCTCAGTGAGGCTGGCATCACTCTAGACGGCGACAAAGGCTGGAGGGTTGAGAGTCAGCTCAACAAGGAGTCTCTGGCCCAAGCCACGACTGCACTTGAGTCTCTTTGGGTCAGGCTCACCCCTCCTGCTAGGTACCCCACTGAGGACAAGGCAAAGTCCGCCCAAGCTCTGCTGCCTACGGTCACCACATCCTCCCCAAGTCCTGAACCCTTGGACTTGCTGCAGCCAAGGCGGGTGCCACATCTCCACTCGCACATGATGAGTGCACGCAACCCCACCCTTGCGTTCGGTGCCCTCATTATCTCTGCCACACCCTTCGTCCTGGCAGACCTGGTGAGTCGATACATCCGCCTCGTCTGGGAGGCCGAGCCATCCAGCGGCAAAGGCCACATTCTTCCGTCCACCTTCGAGGAACGTCGCAAAGACGAAATTGTCCGATTCCACGAGCTCGAGAAGACTCGAGCAGATCTGGAAGCAGGAAGCGCAGACGCTCTCTCCGGGTCCGAAACGGACGACTCCCGCATCAAGCCAAAGAATGTTGTCACTGTCAATGGCACTGTCCTTCCTGCTTTGCCACCCTCCGGCCTTCTCTCCTTCCACGTACTGCGGGATCAGGAGTTACCACTGCAGTGTCGCTTCCGAAATACCTTCTTGCAGTACAAGCCTTGGCTGAGAAATTTGATCGGACTCAGAGATGAAGAGTGGGATGAGGTGGAGCGAGAAGGTCATAGGAAATCGATGTACTCGGAGAAGAAAAAATGGCTGCAGCGCAGGAGGGACGAAGAGAGGTTGCACTCACAGGAGAAGAAGACCAACGGGTCTAGCTAGTGGTCAGCAGCTTCAGGGACGTGCGCGTGCACGAGCTCCTCCGCTTCTGTCTCCCACTCCTCTCTTTCCGGAGGCAAATATATGATGATGACGACGGCGGCACCCGGGGGCAAATCCTTTGATGGCGTTGAGCCTCGATAGCCTCCGCCGTTCAGAGCACTCTCTCGCACCATTACCTACCAATCAACCACGATACCTACTTTCGCATAATACACTACCATCGAACGACTGCCCTTCAGTATGTCTTCAGCCATACCCGCTTCTACTGCGTACAGCGCTGTCATACGCGCGCAAGAAGCCCGCGAGAGCGGTGAGACTCGTCGAATCCTGGTGAATCCTGCTCCCGAACAGGGAGCAAGGGAAGGAGCTGGCACAGACGGCATCTTCGGCCCGTCCCTCCCGCAGACGCGCTACAGCGGAGAGCAGAGGGTTGCCGACAACGCTGACGCTGCAAGTGACGAGGCAGACGATACCAACGAGGACCACGACGATGGTGCATCTGATCGTACCCTTAGACCTGAGGATTTCCACAGAGATGGGGAAGAAGCCAAGAAGGAGGAAAATGATCAACCTCAAGACAACCATGAGGCTTCCTCCCCTACACCTTCCGAAGTGTCATTTAGTCTCGAAGACGACGAAGTATATCACTTTCCTGGCTTGGTCGAGAATCTGCCTCCAACATCTGCCATCGTGTTTCAAGATGCAGATGCGGCGTCTTATGCAAGTGATGCAGCCGACCATGGCAGCGTGGGTCGTGCAAGGGTGAGTATTCGCGCCCCCGCCCCCGCCTAAGGCGAAGCTTCGCCCTCGCCCTGTGACATGCTCCGCGGGATGGTGCGAACGCTTCCATCGAATGTGCAGGTCGCTGACAAGACTGCCTCGTGCCCCTCTTTGCCTCTTTACCTCGCCCTACTCCCCTGGCCTTCTCTTTCCCTTCCTTCCCTCCTCACCCCCTCCTCTACCTCATCCTCTTCACAACACCCCTTCCTCTACCTCATCCTCTCCATCCCAATCCTCCCTCCTCCCCTGCTCCACCTTTACACCCTATCCACGATCATCATCCTCATCCACGGCCACCACAATGGGTACTTGTCGTCACCTCCCATTCGTCCCCCTCTGTACCCAACCTCCCCTTCAGATCGATCTAGACGACTCCGACGATGAAGGACGCTCGTCTGCCGACAATGGCACCGGGCGAGGACACAATGCTGAGGAAGAAGCAGCTCCAGCCAACAGCATGCCTATTCCGGATCGTGCACTTGGACGGGTCCGTCAGCTTCCCTCATGTCTTCGTAGAGGTCGACTGATCTCCTTCCGCAGGCTCAGGGAGTGCCTCAATGCCCACCAAGCCAGACACGCATCGGCTTCTGCCGCCGCCACTGCCTCTCATCAGCAACAGGAAGGGAGCAACGCCAGCGAAAGCTCCCTGAATCCTCAGGCAGCGCCCTTCGTGCCTTCGTCGGTTGATCAGCAAGCCAACGTAACGCCCAGGTCCAGTACTACGACGCTCAATCCAACGGCTGCTCCGTTTGTGCCTGCTTCGGCCCGTCGACAAGCCATGGAGGCAGAGAGACCCCAACCTGCGACACCCAATTCCGGTGCTCCTCCAACCATACCTCCCTTCGAGTGGCAGCCACCCGGTATGGAGATAGGTATCAACGGTCCAAGGTTCGTTCAACCGGGAGATCCCACGCAGATAGCCTACCCCAATACAGTGCCAAACGGTACTGGCGTCCCGCCCACTGTCGACAACGACTGGCCTTTGCCTCCTGATGCCCACTATCTTACCTACGATGAGAATGGGGTCCCGTACCCTGAGCAAGTCTACGGAGCCGAGGTCTTCCCTCATGGTCCCCACTACTATCTACCCGTCCAGCATCTGCCTCAGCATCTTGGCCACCTCTACGGACCCAACGTCTATACTCCGGGTCCTTTCTTCCACGGTCCAGTCGGAGACGCTGCTGGCGCACTTGTACCTCACCAACCTGCGTACACGGATGCACCTCCTCCCGAGACTCCTCCGCCTGCCTATCGGCCCATGCACTATCCCCCCTTGATCCAAGCCGGAGATCTTGATGAAGAGTTGAATGGCTTGACACAGGCCCTCTCCGATCTCGTGGTACAGTCTCTGGCCGCGATGGACATCAATAATCCGCGAGTCAGACGGGCTCTGGCCAACAGGCAGATCATCGAGAGCACCGTCGCATTCGTCTTGCGAAGTCGGTTGCAGGAGCTTCAAGTTCCACGGTCTCAGAGACAAGGTCCTGCCGCTCGTCGTCAGCGTCGTCGTGCTAGGACTGCTGGAGGTTGTGCTGCAACCACACCTGAAGATGCAACTGAGTCTGGTGAGAACTAAGCTCACGTCGGTGACAGCACTCCGATCTACCTCGACTTGCAATCCTCCTGCTCCATCTCTTCCCCTGTGGGACAGATGCGATGCGAGGCTCTGCAGACTATGTCAGATCACATCAAGGCACAAGTAGCTCTCGGCTTCTGGCTCAAAAGAAATAGGTTCGGTTCCAAGCAATGTCCCTTCGTCTTCTCCTTCATTTCGTCCGTCTCCTTTTTCGCTCTCTTTCTCTGATTTACTCATGTCATCTATGTCACCAGGCAAGCAAGTCCCAGAATTATGCACTCCTCTCCGTTCCACTCTAGTCACAATTTATATGCTTTATGTTGTATACCTTTCGAGTGAGCGGTCGCGATTGGTGAGTGATCAGCTTGAAAGATGTCAAGGGTAAGGTAGAGTGATCACGACTGCCTGTGAAGTACAATTCGTCTGTATTGAATCTGTCCCGTACCCACACAAACAGCCCGTTCCTGGCAACACCTCTACCCAAAGGTCTGACTACTCCTCGCCGCCCTCTTAACCTTGCTAATCCTCCAATCATCCTGCGTCTTTGCATACTTGTCAAACAATGGTGCCACTTTTTCACTCCTCTTTCTTTTACTAATCGCATTCGTCTCTGCTGTTCGGAAAAAGCGAGGAGCAACTTCCACGAGCCACTTTGGCTCAATGGCAATTACTTCGCGCATGTACTCCTTGGTCGTCAGGACTACTTCGTGGTAGATGCAGTATTCTGGTGAGCGGTTAAAGAGGGAAGAGGAGGGATGGATGTACACCGTCCCGCCGCCTTCGGCAAGACACTTGTAGCCTTCTTGAGGATCCTTCTTGGCTGCATTCCTGAAATAGCCAGAAGCAATGGCTCTTCTGACACGATTGTAATTCTTGCCACAGGAGATAATGTCGTGAGAATACCGGTCCATGATACCCATGAGCTGTTTCCGGACATCTTGCACTCGCTTCATCGATCTGCCCTGGATGAAATTGTCCATGCACCAAGGCATCGAGAATTTACTGGCTGCCCATCCGTTCCAAACGGTGAGGAGAGTAAGATGATCGCCCTCTGGTTGGAAGAACTTGGCCTTCTTGGCATCAGCTTGCGCCTGCTTGTCCTTGGGCCGGTAAAAGATGTTCTGTCCACTGAGCATCGCGACGATGCTGAGAATCTCTTCTGAACAGCCCAAGTCTACCGAAGCAATGAGCATCTTGGCCATCTGAGGCTCCATAGGAAAGTCGGCCATCTTGCGACCAAGACGAGTCAAGAGACCCTCATCATCCAGCGCACTCAGCGCGTAGAGACTCTCCAAGGCGGTCAGCAGGGTCTGCGAAGGTGGCGGGTCCATGAAGTCAAAGTTGATGAGGTCGTTGATGCCCATCGCCTTGAGCATCAGAATTGTAGAAGACAAGTTCTGACGCTGGATATCTGGAATAGGGTTCGGCAGCATTTCGTTCCTGTATGCAGCTTCTGTGTAGAGACGGTAGCACTTGCCTGGTCCAGTCCTACCAGCTCTGCCTGACCTCTGCCTCGCTTGAGCTTGAGAGATCGGCGTGACAACCAAAGAGTCCATGCCCAGCCGAGCATCATAGGCATTCTGCTTGGAGAAGCCGGGATCAATGACGTAGTACACTCCGTCAATGGTGATACTCGTCTCGGCAATGTTCGTAGCAATGATGACCTTCCTTGCACCGGGAGGCGCAGGCTCGAAGATTCGTGTCTGCTGCTCGGACGGGAGAGCCGAGTAAACGGGTAGAATCACGAGCTCAGGGACAGCCGAGCCCAGAGCCTTCATTCGCTCGAAGAGGATCTCACATGCTGTGTCAATCTCTTCTTGTCCTGTTAGGAACACCAAGATGTCTCCCTGAGGCTCAGAGAGATGGATCTGCATCACTGTAATGAGAGCAGCGTCGAGGTAGTCTGGCTCTGGCTCCTTGGTATACAGGATCTCGACAGGGTACGTCCTACCGGGGATGGTGAAGATCGGGCAGTTGAAGAAGTAGGAGGAGAATTTCTCCGCATCAAGAGTAGCCGAAGTGACCACCAGCTTCAGGTCTGATCTCCGCTTGAGAGTCTTCTTGAGTAAACCAAACAGGACGTCCGTAGCGATGGTCCGCTCGTGGGCCTCATCAAGCACGATGACTGAGTAATTGCTGGCGTCAGGGTCGATAAGACACTCTCGCTGAAGCATCCCGTCCGTCATGTACTTCAGCTTCGTCTCGGGGGATGTGCAGTCTTCGAATCGAATAGTGTACCCTACCTCTGTTCCAACCCTGCATCCGACCTCTTCAGCGACACGCTTGGCTACACTGACGGCTGCGACTCGTCGGGGCTGCGTACAGCCAATCTTGCCTCTCTTGCCTGTCCGGCCGTCGCAAAAGCCTTCTTCAGCGAGATATTGCACCATCTGCGTCGTCTTGCCAGAGCCGGTATCACCAACGACAACCAGAACTTGATTCTCGTCGATGGCTTTGACGAGCTGCTCCCTGAGCTTGAAGATAGGCAGCGATTCTCGCTGCTCCTTGATCGTCTTGTTCGTCACCTTCCCAAACGTCGTGGCTTTGTTGAAGGTCTCCTTCTTCCATGCGGGTCGATCATCCGCTTGACCCATCATGCCAGATCCAGATGCCAGCGCATTGCCCCTCATGTCTTGAGCAAAGGTACGTTGGTCCTGACTCGCCATGGGGTCCTGCCATCCAGTGGACACGTCGCGCAGCTCTGCATCGGCCTTGTCATTCTGCTCTTGCTGCTTCAATTCTCTCCTCTCCTTTGCAAGAGACGCGCCTGCCATTGCAGCTCGGTTCAGCGTGCCGTCAGGGGCTTTGACGATCTTCACTGGAGAGAGCTCAAGAGTGGCAGAGGTTTGACCGCGCAAGAAGGGAGCCTCCTTCTCGTTGACCTCAATATCGACCTCTTCGTCAGCGGCATTATTGAAGCCAGACCCTCCGTTCCTGCTCGGAGTTGACATCTCTTCGTCCGCGAGTAGCTCCGGATAGTCAGAGGCTTTGGCCGCTCCCGAGGCGATAAGTTGGCGTAGCTCCCAACGCTCCGGCGAAGTCAGCCTCTTGACACTAGACCCTCTGGCGTCCGCCTCGTCATCTACAACTGGCCCTGCCCTGCCACGACCGCCGCCAAGCGGCTGATTGTTGGCGCCGGTAACAGCTCTTGCATTCAGTCTAGACCTTTCCTCCTCCAATTCGGCTTCGCTTTTGATTCTGAGGTGAGGCGTCAGGTCCTGGCCGGTGTTTTGATCGGCATCTTTCATGGATAAGCTCAGCCGTGTACCAGCGATGGACATCACCTTGACCTTGACTGGTTGATTTCGTGTGAGGAAGTCGGAAGGATGATTGAGACGAGTGCCAGCAGTGATAGAGCCGATATGTACCATTCCCTCCCACTTTCCATTGACGCCTTCAAGTGCGACGAAAGCACCGAAATCCTTGATGTTCGTCACCTTTCCGTCGTAGATCTTGTAGATGATAGGCTTATCATCCAAAATTCGATGTGGCTGATGTCCATTGCGCCGTCCATCAGGCTGGTTGCTACGGCCATCATCCCTGCCATAGCGATCCCCGGATCGGCTAGCGTACGGATCTGGGGATCTCGACCGACGCCGAGGACGGTCTCCTGTAGGTGCAGAAGCAGACCCGGATCCATTGCGGTGGGTCTTCTCCATGTCCTCCAGGGTCTTCATGAAGTCCTCTACCCCTGCTTCTACGGCATTCCTTTCACCTCCCCGAGCCCGTTTGCTCTCCAATTCTGTTCTTGCTGCGCGCCTCCTCTCGTCTTCGGTATCCATCTCAGCATCGGGAATGGCGAGTCCTGGGAACTGCCTTCGCTTCGCTGCCCTCTCCTCGTCTTCGATCAGGGCCTCCTTGGAGCTGCTCGGCGTTGCCTTGCCATTGGCCGCTTGCGCCCTTTTATCGGCACTGGCCTCTACCTTCTTGTACTTCCAGTGGCCTCTTCTCACGATGCGATCGATGCTTTCGACCAGACCTTGACTGAAGCCATCCTCCTCGCCCGCGCCAACCTCGCTGAGCTTCTTCTTGAATTGCTCGTACGTTGGAGACGAGAGATGCAGCGACAGGACGAACTCAGCCAAGGTCCGGTCCGATATGGAGGTATAGTTCGCGATCTCTTGCGTCAGCTTTGACACCACGGCCAGCTCTTCGAGCTTGCGCAGCTCCGAGTTGGCAGACATGGCGAAAGACGCGGACTGGGCACCGCCAGAGGGAGGTACGGATGGAGTGGAGAGCGAGACGATGGTATGAGTGGCGGGTACTGGTCGGGAAGAGGGCGATGGTCGGTGCCGATGAAATTCAGCCTCGGGCCAATGGCGGGGCGATGCGTGGACCACGTGGGAGGATGCGCCTGGTCCCACTTTACGCGACTCTGCCACGCCCAGTCACGCCACGCCTCCCGTTCCGCCCAATTTTGTGTTACACAAATACCATCAGCTCAGCGCAGCCATCCCTTTGCCTGCCGTGGTCGATCAAAGACGGTCGTCCAGGTGTACTAGCACCACGTTCAGAGATCTCTGCGGCTTCACTCCTTCAGCACGGTGCGCCATGCCCAGCGCGACTCCCACCTCGTCCACTGGACTGGCCTACCCAAAGGTACTGGGCTGGTCCATCAAGCAACACATCGGCGGTGGAGGCTTTAGCAAGTGAGTACAGACACGAAGCGTGTATCAGCCAGAAGGCCGGCATCGCTGGTGATAGCTTCGAAGCTTCGCCCTGGTCCATTCGCTGACGAGCCCTCCGTACCATCCCGTCTTCCTTTGCTACAGAGTCTTTCGTGGCTACAATCCTTCCCACCCTACCAACCGAGTGGCAGCAGTCAAGGTCATCTCCCTTCTCCGTAATCCTCCGCCCGATCGTCGAGCGCTGCAGAAAGAAGTCCAGGTCCATGCTGTGCTCAAGCACCCTCATGTCTTACAATTCATCGGAGTGGAAGAGAGGGGTATCAGCAAAGAGGAGAGGGCTAGGTATTTGCCAGGCATATACATCGTCCTCGAGCTTGCAGGCGGAGGCGACCTCTTCGACAAGATCAGTGAGTACAGATACGGAAAGGTCACAGACAAAGCAGAGTCGGATACTGACACTCATTGGCACCTGACGAATCGGCCCTCACAGCTCCTGATGCCGGCGTAGAGACCGATCTCGCCCACTTTTACTTCACACAGCTCATTGCAGGCTTGGTGAGACTTTCGGACTCTTTTTCCTGACATCGTTGCTCTATCACTGACTTAGAGTGTCTGTGATTTGCGCCGCTTGTGCAGGAGTACATCCATTCGCATGGTGTCACACATCGCGACATAAAACCTGAGAATATGCTGTTGGACAATGATGGCAACCTCAAGATCGCAGACTTTGGGTTATGCTCTGTGTATAAGCACAAGGGGAGGGAGCGAGAGCTGAAGGGAGCTTGCGGTAGTCTGCCATACATAGCACCTGAGGTGAGTAGAGACGCAAGTGCGCGCTAGAAGAATCGCTCTGATATTGACGGCGCTCTGCCTGCTCTCCCAGATGAACGGGCGTCCGTACAAAGGCGAGCCAGTAGACGTCTGGTCGGCGGGTGTAGTCCTCTTTGCCCTTTTGGTAGGCAATACTCCCTGGGACGAGCCGACCAATCGTGCTCCGGAATACGTAGCGTACCTGGACGGAACACTCTTCGACTATGATCCCTGGAATCGTATCCCCGGTGACGAGCTCGCTCTGGTGAAGGGTATGCTCTGTCCCAATCCTGCCAAGCGACTCAGTCTGGAAAGCATCAAGCGGAATCGATGGTACAACCGGAACAACCCGCTGCTCACAAAGTCGGGACAGTGCACTGACCCCACGACGCTCGCTGAGAGGCTACTGCAAGGGCTAATCGTCCACGGAGAGATGGATTATGCTGCGCCACTGACCATCGAGGAGAGGGCCAAGCAATTGCACAGTGATGGTGAAAGAGCAGAGGTGCCCGAGAAGTAAGTTTGGCGCCGCGAAGCTGTTGCGTCTGTCTGGAAGTGCTTACTCTGACCATTTCTTGCCCTCGCGTACCCTCACCGTTCTGCAGCCTCTCACTCACGCAACCAGAAGCCATGCATCCTCATCAGCCACTTCAGCTCGGCTGGTCGCACCGTTCTGCTGCAATGGGTCCTGGAGGCCTCTCCATGCCAAGCTCGACTGCACAGCCCCGCCTGTCTTCCTCAACATTATCCTCTGCGCATCATGCTCGCCGATCCAGCTTCCTCGAACCCCTCTCGCAACAATTACAGACTCGAAGATCTGCTTTCCAGGCCAGCCAGCAGCTCTCTCAAAGTCTTCACGGCGACTCTCAAGACCCCATGGGCGGAGGGAGTCAGTTCACTTCAGTGCTCAATTTCCTTACTCAACCTCCAGCTCTTTCGCAGTCTCAATCAGGCCGCGCCAATAACGCTGCATCTCTGACGATGCTACCCAATTTGACGAGGTTCACCTCCTCTGCTACAGTCGCTGTCATGGCCGAGGTGCTCAGCAGGGTCTTGCACGGCCTAAGGGTGCAATTCACCCTCGAACCTCTGGGAGACACGTTCATGGGAGAGGCAGAGGAAGTAGATGGGCGTGACGCGATTCCCGCCGCCGACTTTAGGATGGACGACGCAGACGATGAAATGGACACCGACGAGGCTCTGCAGCACCACGATGATGATGGCAGGGGAATGTCGCGGAGCACCTCGACTGGCAGTGACGGGATGACCGTTCGTGGCTCTCCCGCGCCAGAGAGTGGCGGTATGACCACTTCCGCATCAACAGCCACCCTCACTTCGGCTTCGGCTTCGGCTGCTCCCTCTTCGCTTTCGAATTCGACAATGTCCCTCGGCTCCATCCCTGAAGGAACCAAAGGGACCCGTCTACGCATCAGTCTCACCGACTCTCGCAAGTGTCAGCTCAAGGGTGAAATTCGCGTAGAGCGGGTTCAGGGCATCGAGGGAGGGGAGATCAAGTCGCTTGTGATGATGAGTCGTCGTAGGGGTAGTCCGTTGGAGTGGAGGAGGGTGTTTGGTAAGATTGTAAGACAGAGAGAGGTCGCGAGTTGTATTGCGAGGTAGTACGCAGCCGAGAGAGGAGTACACAAGATAAGGGGACATGGGGTCCCCTTTTCAATCGTCACACATGTACTATATCAGCCACTTCGCACAAAAATTCCTTTCGTAGTCCCAGACCTCAATGGCCCTTTTCCTTCTCCTTCTCCTTCCTGGACTTCGCCGTCTTCTTTGCCCTCCTCCTCCTCTTCTGCACAATCTTCTTCACCTCCTTGACAGCAGCCAGCAGCAGCGGGACCGCCAGCGGGCCAAACAAGGGCGTAAAGACGGCGTAGCGATGTTCTACGGGAAAGTAGAGTTGTCCCACCATGCGTGGGTTGTAGAATGCTAGAGAGGCAGAGGATTTGGCCAGCAGGGAGAGGGAGGAAAGTTCTGACCAGCTAAGGCTCGAGCTCCACTTGGAACTGGATGCTGATGCTGACTCTGGAGAGGTAGAGGTAGAGATGCGCTGCAGTGCTTGCAGACTTGATTCGACGGAGGACTGCACTGAAGTGCCGACTTCTAGGTTGGACAGCTTGGACAGGGAGCTGTGCACGCTCTCGAGTGTATCGATTGCGTCTCTGAGCCTGTTGAGGATCGTGAGACGCTTGAGGTGGAAGGTGACTTGCCTCTGCTGCTGCTCAGACCCTTGGTCTAATGGAAGACCTAGCAAGGTGAGGAGCTGACGCTCTACGAGCTCGGCTACCTCGCTGTATGTGTCTTGGTGGGAGGGGAGCATCACCACGCCTCCCCAGGACGGGACAACCCAACCCCACGTCTCTTCCTTGCCCTCTTGATCTTCCGCAATCTTGACGAGAGAGCGCCATCGCGCTTCCTCGGGAGAGGTGACCGGCTTGTCATCTCCTTCGAGAAGGCTACCTTCTGAAGCGGGCGTTGTCGCAGGCTCAGATAGATCCTCGTAGGGGTCTTGCTCCCCGCCGTAGACGACTGGACGGCGCTCACTAGATGGGTTGTACAAGACGAAGTGCAGCGTGGTAGCATCTGCTGCTATCCCACTATCCTCATCTCCTGTGTCCAGACCCTGCTCGAAGAGGAAGGGAAACGGGGCGTAGGTTCCGCCCTGGCCTGCTCCTTGCTGACTGTCGAGGCCCCATCCACTTTCGTCCACAAATGTCTCCATCTGATCCTGAGGGAGGTAGTAAGCTCGCTTCTCGATCGCTTCGCTCCGCGGAACACTTGTGGTAGAGTTGTATCGCTCCACGCACATTGGACGTGACACCGGTGACTGCGCAGGAGGAGCATAGGTTCCTTCTTCATCATCTTCGTCTGCGGACTCGGTCCCTTCATCCTCTTCGAGGGCGGCCTCGAGCTCGCATTCAACCTCTCTCTCTTCCTCGATCTCGACCTGCTCCTCCCAAGTCCGATTGGCCGTCCAATTGATGTCCTCCCATTTGATCCCTCTCGCCACCTTCCCAACGCCCCAGTCCGCAGTATAGCCTAGGGTGGTGAGGCTCTCGAGTTGACATTGTAGGCTCTTCAGCTGCCCTCGTATTTGAGATCTGAACCCTTGACCGAGCGGAGGTTGGGTAGAGTTGTCCAGCGCAAGGTCTTCGTTGAGGAGATGAAAGTGGAGCAGGAGGCGCGATGGCAGGTCAAAGGGTCTGTCTTGCGAGTAAGCCTCATGGAAAGTATCTTCGTCTCCTAGAGAAAATCCTCGAACTTGTAGATCTCCCTCGTCCTGTTCGACGTAGTCACGCAGACGAGCAACAGCAGATGAGTCAGAGGCGGGTGGGGCGGTATGAACACCTTGAGCAGCAGCCTGGGAAGCGGCGGCCGGTGCCGCAATGTCCCAATCGCCATCTGCCCCGTTGTCGCTCGTCCGACTGCTCTCAGCTGCGCCTTGCATCAGCAAGTGTTTGTAAGGCAGATCGAGGTCGAAAGCTATCCGCTTCGCCAATGCCGAGGCAACCGAGTGAGGAGAGAAGTTCGTGAGAGGCTCGGTCAAATTGAGCACCAGTGGAGTCCCTGAGCCGATATCTTCACCAGCCCCTGAACCGTCTATCCGGTAACTGAAGTCAGGTGTGACGTCGCTGTCATGCCGGGTGAGCGTCCAGCTGACCTGCCACTGAACACACCACCTGCTTGCGGCGGCATGACTGCGATCGTTGCCCTCGCTGGCCAGCTGGAGAAGCGCTGCAGTCTGGCTGCGTGTTTCCGCCGACCAGGTTCCCCGCTCATCTCCATCGAGTGTCCCATACGAGATACCTATTGATGCGGGTATCTGAGCAGGACAGCCAGTCTTGCGATTCAGCTGAGTCCAGGTCTGGATCGCCTCAGAGTCAATGGGAAGTCGGCTGACGGCGGTGAGATGTCTGGCGTAGGGAAAGGAGATGAGGATGAGGGCATAGATGGCAGCGAGGGCAAGTACGCGCGTCGACGTCGACTGGGACGAGCGTGAAAGGATGCTCATCGTCTACAGCACATCTTAAATGGGTATCAGGGCAGATGAAAGGGGGAGGAAGGTAGACTTGGCAGCAGAAGGCCTCCTCCGCTACGCGACCCTGAAGATCTGGGTCATGCATTCGCGCGCAATGCACGAGCCAGGCGCTCTCATCTCTCACTTCTCTACCCTCTCCACCTCCAAAAGAGAGCTTCGCAACACTCGCACACATACAAGCACAGGAGAAGGTCAATACTTGTCCATGATGCAGGAAATGATACAATAGCTATGCTATACCCAGCCCTTAGGGCGGCCAGATAGGGTGATCCAACAGCTCCCAAGTAGTCAGATCAATATCGCCCTTGATCGACTGCCTCAGATCCTCCATTGGCCTCATCCCACTATTCGGCACAACGCCTCCTCCAGGCAGAACCTCCGTCTGCCCTCCAGGAAAGCTGGTGCGATCCAACACCGAGCTGTATGAGATCAGTGCCCCTCTTGTGTAGCACATCGTCGCTGCGGGGGACAGATACCGCTGCACAAGGGTCCGCTCAGCATTTGCTGCTACTCTTTGGCCAAGGGACATCCCGCTTGTGGCGTAGGCCCCCACGTCTTGCGCGTGGAGATCGGCCATGAATTCTGCGAGGTGATGGAAATAAGGCTCTGGGGGTATCAGGACTGCATGGGTGGATGACGGTGGGAGAGGACGTGGTCAGGTCAATGACCCTCCGTGGTGGCCTGCTAGCTCCCCAAACGTACCATTTTGATCAGGACTCTGCGGATTGCTGATCAATGCTGGGTGAAAGTGTTGTGTCCACGTCAAATTGTGAGTGATCACAGCGCTGGAGCATCCCAATAGGAATTTAGAGCGTCCAGAGTAGGAGATCCCCTCGCTGTGTAGGAGGTACTTGTGCTTGCAATGCTCAGCAATGGGTACATGCGGAGCAATGTGTGCGCTTTCATCGAAGAACTGGACGATCAGGACGTTGCCTGGTCAGCCGACTGCTACTTCATCCAGGTGGTCGCATGTCCCCTCTCTTCAGTGCTACTTACGCTTGTAGCACGGACGTCGGACCAGACGCTCGCACCCGGCAATTTGACCTGCTCCATCAAGTCGGCTCTCGCAGCCGAGCCCACACTAGGATCGCCTCGGAAGAAAGCCCTGTCCGCCTTTTGGTGCCAGGTCATGGCCTCATTGATGGCCTTTGCGTCTCTGCGGAACTCGCCATAGGATCCAATACCTGCCTCGGGCCAGGCAGCAAAGGAGAAGTCGGCTGGCAGTAAGATCAAGGGAAGCTCCTCGTCAGTCATACATTCGCAGACCATTCGGGCCGCGTTAAATCAGGGGCACTCACGCAATAGATATCGTCCGGGCGGATCAGATCCCTCCTTCGTCAAGACCCAGCCTACGCCGTCTCCAGCGTCAGTCTCATCACTGTCAAGCGCGTTCAGTATAACGTCGACGCCCTCAAAGCGCGCCTTGTCTGCAGCGCTTGCCGCCTCCACCGCGGTGCGAAAGAGTGTCAAGACTCCTCTGACCCGACTCTGCGGTCCCACGGTATAATTGCGGATAAAGATTCGACCATCCTTGATGATGAAGCGCGCACAACCATCTATACACTTTGCGCTCGCTTCTTCGAGATTACGGTACTTGATGCCGCCCTTGTACCGCCAGGCAGCAGCATTCTCTTCCAATTGATCAAACAGCAGCGGGAATTCCCTCTTACACTCCGCATGAGACATTGTGTGATCCACCTGTCTCTCAACCGATAGGCCCTCCCCTTGGGCTTGCTTGCTGCTACCATGGCCGTAAGCTGCCTTTATCGAGTTGGACCAACTCTTGGTAGGGAGACGTTCGGAGAAGACGGAAAGGAAGAGGGTAAGGGTGAGGAAGAGGGCGGCGAAGAGGACGGCTGCATACGCGGCAGTCTGAGGCGTCGGGGCCCGTCTCCGACGTTCTAACATGCTGAGGGATAGGCAAGGTGCACCGGAAATGGATCAGGAATTGAATGGAGGGAGAGAGAGATGCTTGGATGCCGGACGGCTACGCCAGGTAGGACTAGCTAAACCCGTGGGGGAGCCGGAAGTGCGGACCAGCATGGCACCCTGCTGCAGGGAGATAGCCCCCAGCCTGCGAGATTGTCTGATCGCGCAAGTCGAGAGAGGCCAGAGCCGAAGCCGTTCTCACGTACCTGTAATCGGAGTGAGACATTTGGGCAAGAGGGAGAGGATACGGGCAAGCAGTGTGCCTCTGACTCACTGGCTGTGAGCCGGCGCACGGAAGTGGACCTTATGTGCATCGGGGTCTGGAGAGTCGGCGAATCCGTGGCTGATCCTGCATGCAACTCCCCGGTGGCGCGTGCGACTGCCCGACCCCTCCCACGGTCCAGTCGGCGTGGGGATCTCAGAGTCCACACATTTGAGAGTGATAGTCTATGCACTTTTGTCTTGTTGGTAACACTGGTACACAAGTCTACTCGTCGTCACTATCCTCTTCGCTTTCTTCATCGCTACTCTCTCCAGCATGCTCAATGATGGTCTTTGCCTTTTCCTTTAGCTCTCCCATCCTCTTGCGCACCGCTTCTTCACTAACCTCGGCCCCTTCGCTCCTCTTGTCCCCAGCCCACTCCAGCACACCCTCGTCACTAATCAAGTCGTCATTGTAGAGCTTTGTGACAACGCCGGTGAACAGGGCCATCTTCTTTCCTTGATCTCGAGCGCAGAATTTCTGGATGAAGAGGATCGTCTCGCATCCCTCTACCGGGCCATTTGAGCCAATGTTGTTCAGCAGTGGACTCCAGCGATTGAGCCACTGACCCGTCTTCTTGACGTCACTGGCATCACACCTCTCCATGAGCTTGTCGACGACGACTCGTCTCACAGAGGAAGGTGGCACATTGCTAGCCATACGAAGCGTCTTTAGCTCAATCGAGGCATTGTCAATGGTGTGGCCTTCGTCAAAGGCACGATCCAGCGAGGCGGAGGCTTCAGCGCTAAAGTCTGCTTGCCGCGCCGAAGCTGCCGCTTCATCAAGAGCAGCATCGTCGCCAGAGAGCGTCAAGGAGTCGAGGTGGGTAGAGAGTCCAGGAGTGGCAGTAGGGAAGTCCCCGTCCCCGTCGATGTCAGAAGCATCCGAGTCTTCGTCCGAGTCTGACCCGAAGCCGAACTCGGAATCGCCATCGACAGAAGAGAGTGAGTCTTGGGAAGTCGTATCGGTTGTCTCGCCTTGCCGTAGGTTCGCCCCGATCACCAGATGACGGAGGGTGGCGGGAGCCTCAAGCACATCGTCATCCTCATCGTCTTCGTCATCCGAATCATCTTCATATTCCGGGTCTCTCACTCCTAGAGCGGGCCAAAGGTACCCTATACTGTCTTTGCCCAGACGGGCATCAGAGCCAGGAGGTGGAAGAGGGTGGGCGGTCTTTGTCGCGACATCGTCCTCTCCGTCGCTGTCTTCCTCTTCCGCCCTCTTGACATCTGCCAATCTACGGGTCGCAATGCGACTCCCGGCTTGTACTGTCACATCAGGCCCAATAGTGCAGCCATCGGCAATGATGCAGCCTGACTCAATGGTGACACCTTCCAGTAGCTTGACTCCTTCGCCAATGATCGAAGACGTGATGTTGCAGCGCGGTCCCACCTGTACATTCTTGAATAGATGAGAGCCTTCTATTGTACTTCCCTGCTGGACGCTTACGCCCTCACAGAGTGTGGATCGAATGACGCTGACGCTGTCTTCCAGGGTACACCTCGAAGAGATGAGTGTATGACTACCCACAATGGCGCTTCTTGCCACCTCCACACCATCTACGCCTTGGAATCTGCTGGCAAGCCGTGCCTCTAGACGTTCGCCTGGCCAGGATGGAGCTCCCGGTACAATCGGAAAGGTGAAGCGAGAGAGGACATCAAGGCTGATGCCATCGTAGGCTCTTGTGGAATCGCAGCGTGAGCCGTAGGCGCTGGTCGAAGCCAGAGACTGAGCGCTGTCAACGTTGTCTGCCTCGTTTGCAACGTGCACGAAGAGCTTACTGTCCAGCAGATCACTGGTAAGGATGCCGACGACAAAATCCCTCCTGAGCTTCTGGTAGTCAAAGTTCTCAGAGAAGAGGGGAGGAACCTCAATTCCGCAGATGTCAATTCCGGTTTCCCTCAAGTCCGATCGTAGGTCGACTTCCGAAGTCGAGGCGTCCAGGACGGAATCGAGGAACGTATCCTCGTAGGGTAAAGAAGCGTGACGAGCCGATGCAGCAGGGGTGTGGAAAGCCCAATGCAGGAGTTGTTGTGACTTTGACCGCAGTGCAACGATCGGTGAGCTAGATGGTGGGCTATTCCTTGCCTGTGGTTCAACGCTCATCATGCCTATTGTCATGATGGCATCGCGATCGAGCTTCTTCCTTTCCGTGTGAATTCGCACCATCTCCCGAAGATCGACATTGCCCACGGCATCTGGCTGCACGAGGATGAAGTCACCTCGAATGACCTGCTTGGAATCCAGATCTTGCATAGCATGCCCAACGGATGTAGCAGAAGGCAGCGCATACACGACGATGTCGAGGCCAGTCAGAGCGCCGCTCTTCCGTAGCGATTCGATGTGCTGGCGAACGAGGTGGGTATGCGATTTGGACAGGACGTAGACCTTTGAGGCGCCGGCTTGTAGCAGCCGCTCAAGGGTCAGATTGATCAGAGGGACGCCGCATAGAGGTAGCAGGCAGCGAGGACGAGTCAAGGTCAGAGGCGAGAAGCGAGAATCGAAGGAGTCTGCCAAAATGACGGCTGAGAGAGGCTCCTCGTCGGCGCCATCGATAGGAGCTGCACTCGCTGCCTTCTTCTTGGAGGACGAGGCAGACTTGACCTGGCCCTTGGAAGACGTCGTAGGAGCTGGCTTGGGAGCCATGGTGGGATGTAGAGAGGACGACGAGGGCACTGGATATGGCGGGTGATGCTGAAGGGGGAGCTGCCGTGGAGGAGGAAGGAGTGACTGCTTCGCCTCGCCTCGCTTCGCTTTGCTCCATCGGAAAGGGACATGCGCGCAATTTTTGGCCCAAGCGATCCTGGCAATGAATGGTAATGGTGAGCAGGCCACCTTCAGCAAAGTCTACTTTGACCACTTCTTCCATCTTCTGGATTGTCCCGATACACTCTGCTACTCAGTCAACCTCGTCGATGGTCTGCTCACAGCATGCCTGCCACGTATGCTTCTCGTCCGTGGTAAGGGGAAGCTTCGCATCGACCTCGAAGCGGACCCTTGCAGCTCCTCTTTCTTCTTGCCACTGGGCTGCACCGGCCCGTACGTCTCCCTCTTCGGCCTCGTTGTATTGGTCTTCCAGGGCTGCTTCGCAAAGTCAGTCCCACGGCGATGGCCTCTCAAGGGCATTCTGCACTTCGCGAGCTTCATCTCTTCCTCGCAGCGTGACGAGATCGAGGAGGGAAATCGCCCCAGAGGAAGTAGAAGGAGAAGACCTCGAAGAAGCATCTTATGCTCCCGTGAGCAACGACAGCGTCTCCCACGCCGGCAGTAGCGCATCGAGATCACAAACAGATAGTCTGCCATGGTTTCTGCAAGAAAACATCATCGAGATTGATCCACCTGTGGCATCGGCATCGGCATCGGCGTCGGCATCACGACCACCTCCCAGCGTCCCCTTGGAGGATCCTACAGCGCTTGCTCTGCCCGACAATCTCCCTGCGACATTGCGACTGCTCCATACGCACTTGACAAAGGGTTCATCATCTGGACTGCTCCACAAGCCCTCATTCACCGACCTTGAAGACGGCGAAACGCCTCCGTCACCAGTAGTCTTCGTGCATGCAGCTCCACTGCAGGATGGCCTCTCATGGTGTGACTGGATCACCATTGTCACTGTCAGGGAGAATACTGGTGGAGGAATCAACGGCATTGTGGCTCGTGACATTGGGGATCTCCTAAGTCGGGTCGGTCCGCCCTCCTTTGAGGGCGGCTCAGCCGGAGGACGAACAAAGGCCGAGAGAGGTCTGGACCAGATCTTGGGGCCCAACGAACGTCTCAGCGGGAGCAAGGATGCGTACGGTCCGAGCTCGACACAACGTTTGGGTAGAATGTCAAAGGAAGGAATGGAAAGCGAAGAAAGTCAAATATGGCCAGACCGTGAGTCTCCCACTCAATGGGCACGGCAAAAGGAGGCCCTCGCTGCCAAGTACTCTAGCTGGAAGCCCCTCAAGATCCTCTCTAGGGAGACGCAATCAGGTCTACGGATCCTCCATTCCTCCGATCCGCAGAAGTGGACTGCCAGTGTCCTCTCCTCCCACTTCAAGGTCAGCGTCGAAGCCGTCAGGAGGATCTTGAAGGCTCGTCCCGAGAGGTGGGGTGGAGATGCGGATGACAAGGGACTGAGACGGATGGGCGACAAGGGCTCAGAGCCCGAGAGATGGAAGAGGGAGGAAGAGGAGGTGGAGCGACTCAGGAGAAGCTTGGGCAGGGATGACGTCGGTGAAGAAGACGAAGTTGGTCTGGAGGAGGATTTGCAGCAGGCGGACGAGGCAGCCCCTGCACCCTTGACTGGCGTCGCCCCCTCGACTCTGGACGTGCGCTCATTGGGCAAGCCGCGCTATTCGGTCAGATTTGAGGGTCTACCGGCCGCCTCAGCAAGCACATCGCGGACTGCAGCACGCAAGGCGGCAGCAGCACGAGGCAAGGCCTCAGATGGCAGCGAAGAGGCCAGTGGAGAGTGGGTGTTGGTCGACGCCGGCTGGTGCGTGGTGCATGTGATGACGCCGAAAGCCCGAGCTAGATACGATGTAGAGGGTGTGTGGAAGGACCTGGTCAAGGAGCAAGACAGAGAGGACGCTGCTGCTGCGCCCTTGTAAATGAAAGCATGATGCCCAGCGCTTTCTGCCATCACTATAGGGTCTGTCTGATGGGACCACATGAGCGTGGGGAATCGTATTACCTTGCCTCGTAGCTGCGCGTGTCTACAGTCTAGGCGCATCAATCTATACCTCACTACTTTCCACTCTGCTGCTTTTGTGTCCACCGACTTCTGATGCCTTTCAGCCACTGCTGGCCGTTCGGTTCCTCCAGGAGTGCCCTCGCCCTCCTGTGCAGCCATCTGACGTTACCCCACGCGCCACCGCCCCACCCCTCGGTAAACCTCACCCAGGAAAGCAAGGAGAGGTCGAAATCTTCCAGCAACCGCTTCAGAGGGTACTCTTGCTGCAGATCAGTACTGGGAGGAGCGCGTCCTCGCTCAGAAGCATAGCTTTCTAGGTGCTCTGCGAGTCGAGAATGGTAGAAGGATAGCCAGGCCCTTTCGTCCGCCTGGGAGGAGAGATGACGGCTCGGTACGACGCAGCAGAGGTACTTGATGAGGTCTTGCGTTGGTACACCGACCCCGATGTATTGAAAGTCGTACAGTGCCACTCGATGCGTCTGGCTCATCGAGGTCCAGGATGCAGGGAAGGCCGTCTGCTTCTTACCCGCTCCGTGCATCTTGCTCGAGGAGCCGGATGTACTGCTACCCTCATCCACGGCGACCCTGTGAAAGGCCATGTTCTCAGCCTTCGCATCGCCATGGACTAGAGTAAGACCAACCCCTCCTTCGGGGTTCTGGATGGCATCTTCAATCGCCCATGCTAGATCTGGATCCTTCTTGAAGATGGCGAAAGGCGATCGGTCATCGATCTGTTGCAGGCCGGGCTGGCGAGTCTGTAGGTAGCTGTTAGGGGTATAAGAGGGTGTGAAGCCGCTGATCAGAGAGCTGAATAATTCTGCGGACGTGGTGTCGGATGGCGCTCACTTGTAGGTCCCCCACTTCCATACTCCATCTCCTTGCCATCCTTGCTGTCCGCTCCTCAAAACCCGCATCTCCTCCCGAGGCTCATGACATTCTCTCCCTTCCTGAACCGTATAATTCCAAAAGCAAGCATGTAGTCGTGCAATAGCATCTAGTCCAGCTAGCGCTTGCTCTAGTGTGAGGTCCTGCCTTCCGGTCGGCATCAGCTCGTACTCCGCTGCGAGGTCAGACAGAAGCAGGGTGAAAGGCGTAGGTCTTGCCAGGAACTTCGGGGTCCCATGATGCTCGCTGGAGAACTTGGGTGAGAGATTGGAGTAAAAGTTGGCTTCCACTTTGTAGGAGAGAACCTTTCTCATCGTCCCTTCCTGCTCTTCCTCATCCTCGTCCTCCTCTCCCGCGCTCGGAGGAGGCTCGATCCACTTGAGAACTGCGCTCGAGGGCACTTCTTCCGCCTCTTCACCTGACGCAAAGTGAAGACGATATATATTTCCATAGCCTGCCCATAATGTCGTCAAATGCTCCACATGGTCAAGGTGATTTGCATAGGCTGGTGGTAGGAGGGCAGCAATCGCTGCGAAGAGCTGTGGGGAAGAGGACAGGCGCTTGTTGCGAGGCATGGTGACGGAAAGGAGGCAGGGCGGTGCGGTGGCTTTGAGACGCGATATGATCAATCTAATCTGATTTCGGCATGGCCGATGACGGTTTCCGAAAAGTGAAGTGACATGATAGGGCCGACAAGAGATACAGCGATGGAGCCCTCGCAACACACATAGGACTGTCCGCCTTAATACAAGGATGTACTACGTCTCACACAGAGCGCTGCCGGACCTCCACTTCGACCTCTTTACTCGTCGCTCCTCGTGTCGAGCAGATTGAATTCGCCAGCCTTGGCGGCCTCAATCTTGCCCTTGACGTTCTCATAGATGGTGAAGACCACGGCCTGACCAGGGGCCACACGAGCTACTCTCGGCGTGATACCCTTCCAGAAAGCACTTGCGCCTTCCTGGGCAAACATGTCCCTGGCCACCTTGACGACTCTCGAAAGGGCAGTCTCGCCTTCCACTCGCGACGCACGCTGGATACGGGTCTTGATAGTATCAATGGGGGCATTTGAGAAGGGTCCGAGAGCTCCGGAGATGAGACCAATCACGGCAGTCTCATGGGAGGGCAGCTCCGCTGTTCCGTGATACTTTGTGGCCAGAGCCTTAAGCTCTTGGTAGGCGGTGAAGTTAGCGGCTGTGGACAGACAAAGGGTGGGCCAGAGAATGATTCAGATGACGCACGGGCAGGGGACCATAGACTGCTCGAGGCCTACTCACCCTGGTTAGTAGCTTGCCTGGCAGCTGTCAATGCCACACCTCGGTAAAGGGTGAGGAAACCCTCCTCACGAATGATAGTGTAGAGACAGTGTGCAGCATTGCGGTACCTTGGCACCTCCAGAGGATCGGCAAGGGAGTGTTGTTGCGCTTGCAGTCGGATCTTTACAACTTCCATGGGATTCACAACTGCGACGGCTTCTGTAGTACCTGCTCCAAGACCTGCCAAGAAGATACCTTTTGATGAGGTCTTGCCCGTTGTCTTGTCTGCCAAGAGACCCTTGTATTGCTCGAAGGACATGAATCGGATAGCCATCTTCGGAACGATACCTGCTGTGACAGCTCCGAGACCTTTGTAGAGGCCCAGAGGCGTCTCGCGGCGGATGATGTATGCTCCAGTCGCAAAGAAGCCTCGGGCTTTTGTTCCAGTAGATTTGCCTCGACGTGAAAGCTGCATGCGCACCTTGATTGTGTCCAGAGCTGGTTGGGGGAAAGGCGAAGATGATGACACTCTGATCAGCACGCGCAGCGACAGGGAGGTGAAACGCAGGCGGCGGTGACTTACGATGACAAGTGCAGGCTTCAGCAAAACCAGCGATACCTCCCGCGATCAGGTGGGTCGAGGGGGCGGTCTTACCGCTGTTGGCCTTCGAGGAAGAGGAGGCAGACATGATCGGCGTGATGCTGTGCAAGGTTGGGCTAGGCTACGGATGAGGGTGATATGCTCGTTGTTGCCGGAGAAAAGACGATTCGAGACCACGTAGGGCGAGACAGAGGGGCAACTTGAGGAGGACGATACAAAGCAAAGTGAGGAGAAGGTTTGAAGGAGTGACTGTGGATAGGCCTCGAGTCAAGGGAAAGCGGAGGAGACCAAGACATGCGGGGTGAGCGTTGCTAGCCATCGATGTCCACATAACCCCGCATTGGCCGGCCGCCCTCTCCGGCCTAGTCCGGCTAGGCTCGTGAAATGACAGCCTGACCCGGAAGCGGAGCGCTCTCGGAACGGAAGCATCATAGATCTCGCACCGGGCCTTCGGGGGGGACCTTGCGGCGATTGCAAGCGTGTCACGACGGTGTGTTGTGGTGTCGTCAGCCGGTGTTTGATCTGTCTTGTCAACGGAGCTCATGGTGATGAGGGCTGGTAATGTCTGCAGAACCAGACTCATCCACTTGCTATACATATACGCCAGCATCGGCGGCAAGATGCGTGCGGCTGATGCTATGCTGCACTCCCAGGCATTGCAAAAGGTTTTTGGTCACAAGGCTCTCTACAAGCCCTTGTGCGTTCTGTAGAATGTCTCTTTGGAGCCTTTCCTGCTGCTGACCTTTGCTTCTAAGCTGTGTGTGTCCCTACTGCGAGAAATATCAATCGCTGCTGGTTGGAACATTTTTGGCGGATGGCTGGGAGCGCGCACGTGAACTGCGCCGCAATTCAAGACCCGCCCAAACCGCCCTGTAGCCTGGCCCTGCCTGCCCCCCGCCCGCGTGGAATTCCCTCGGGCGGACGGCACTTCTGCTTCTTCGAGCGCCCCTCATCCTCGTAGCCACATACGCCAACCTCACCTGCCTCCTCCTCATAACCCAACCTCTTCATAATGACCCGTCTCTACAGCAAGGCTCGTATCCTGGGTCACCAGAGGTCGAAGCACGTCTCGCACCCCAAGACGTCGCTGATCAAGATTGACAATGTGGACTCGCCCGAGGACGCTCAGTTCTACCTGGGAAAGGTTAGTAGTCGTCTACTGCCTCGAGCAAGGACTCATCCTTAGAGGGATGGGAAGACAGAAGCGGGACGTAGCGATGGGATCAATGAGCTGGCCGGAAGCTCGGCATCATATGACAAAGTCACGGATTGGGCAAACTAGAGAGGGAAGGTGCAGGCTCGTCATGGTGGGGGACTCCCAGCAGCAGCTGAGATGGCAGCCTCCCGCTGCCTTTCGGCTGTCGTCTGTAGTAGAAAAGGAGACACGGCGGAGTCATTGCAGATTGCGAGGACACTTGTCTCTGCTGCTATCAGCTAGCTGAGCTGCCTTTGCTGGCTGGACGTGCCTCCCTCTGTCATAGGGGCCTGCCATTGGAACCTAATCTCTTCAGAATGCTGCGGTACTGCGATATGGGCGTCAGATGGAGTTTACCCTCACATCACAAACGTCAAGGACGCACGTCGCTGACATTTCTGCTCTCCTCCCTTTCTTACCATGCCCGCATCAGCGCATTGCCTACATCTACAAGGCTCCCACTGACCGCAAGGGATCGAAGGTTCGCGTCATCTGGGGCCGAGTCACTCGCCCTCACGGCAACTCTGGTGTGGTGCGATCCAAGTTCCGCACCAACATCCCGCCGAGGGCTTTCGGTGCCAGTGTCCGAGTCATGCTGTACCCTAGCAACAGTGAGTTTCTCGAACGGGCATGGGCGGAGATGAGCTGAGGCCAGTGCATTGCTGCTCGACTACCAGTGAGCCTATTGCTGACCTGCCTCGCCGTCATTATTGCCTTCAGTCTAAGTCTGCATGACTTTGAATTGTTAGATCCTCATCAGACCCTTCTACTGCGTCTGCTCTGGCTGCACCGCGCTGGTAGCCTCAGACTTTGCCCACCTTGTACGCCTACAGATCCTCTCGCCTCTTTTCTTTTTTCCAGCATCTGTTGATGTTTCACCATCAATGCCAAACCAACGCATACGAAAACGAGACAAAGCTCTGTGTGGATGTGAACGGGAAGCTGTGAACGGGAAGCGGGGAGACTCTTGAGGGGCTGAGAGCGGGCCGTACGCATTGCATGATGTCGTCTGGCTCCAGCTTCGGAGATTATGACAGGTGAACAATTGATTGCCAAGTGATGCCTGACCGCCGCTCAGAGATCTCGACCACGGCGATCGAAACTAAGTAACCATATCGATGCCGCTGCAGATACTTCAGGTGATGCCTTTCGCTCGGGGACCTGATCTTTACATCGCACTGCAGTCTCACCATACTCATGGGCCTGCGACGCGAGGTCTGCTTTCTGCCCTTCTTCACCCGCTCTCCCGCGATGATCTGAATGGGTACATTTCGTCTCGTCTCGTCCTCACGACTTGAATCGTGTGAAGTCAGAGTGAGCTGTGTGCGGTGCGATGAGCAGGGCACCCGACGCCCCGAGGGAGAGCGGGCGACGGGGGGGCCTGCGCCGCGTGACATTTTGCCTCGGGCGGGAATGCGTGGGCGGAAGATCTGACCAAGTCGCAAGCGCAGCTTCCTCTCAGCGCTTCTTCCAGCCGATCTCACCATCCCTGACCCGCACCACACCTCATCTTCTGTGATGTTGGCTCAAAGAGCATCTTTGCGCCTCCTTCTTGGCTGCCCGTCGTCTGCGGCGGGCTCGTCAAGGAGCGCCTTTGCTCCTGCGGTCTGTCGCCCGCTGTCCACCTCGACACCTCGCCGGGGCCTTGGCGGCTTCAACACGAACACTCAGACCTTGGCCAGCTCGTCGACTCTTCCACCTACCCTCTTGCAGCAGACTTCATCAAAGGCGGTACCAACTCGAAAGCAACGTCGTACAGCAGAGAAGGCTGCTCGGGCTGTGCAGAAGAAGAAGGAGTACAACAACACCAGAGCGGCCAAGTTAGGCCTCTCGCAAGCGAAGGTGTCTCCTTACGTTCGGATCGATCGTCAATTCAAAACCTTCAAGCCCATCACTCCCTCTTTGCGATGGGTGAGATATAATATCAACGATCATCTCTACGGTGGCAGGCCCGAGAAGTCTCTCACTGTGGCCAAGAGGAGTACGGGAGGAAGAAATCACCACGGCAGGGTGACAGTGCGCGGCCGTGGAGGAGGTCATCGCAGACGTCTGAGAATGGTGGATTTCTGGAGGTGGGAAGCTGGTCCGCAAGAAGTGATCCGCATTGAGTATGATCCTGGAAGATCAGCCCATATTGCCCTCATCAAGCACAAGGAGACCGATAGATTGAGCTACATTCTTGCACCCGATGGCCTGCGCGCTGGAGACACAGTCGAGAGTTACCGGACGATGAAGGAGGTGGTGGGATCCAGTGGCGAAGGGGGCGCAGCCTCCGCCCTTGACCTGGGAATCTTCAGGACAAAGGCCATTCGACCTGGGAACGTGCTGCCTCTGCATCTCATTCCCATCGGAACCACCATTCACGCTATCTCTCTCAACCCCGTCGGACCCGCAAAGGTTGTTCGATCGGCCGGAGCCTCGGGCCAGCTTATCGCATTCGTCAACCGTTCGAAGGGTGTGAAGACAAGTGGAACATCGGAGCAAGTAGAGGCGGACTTGCAAGCCGCTGAACAGACTGGTCAGTCTTCTCAGGGTGCGGGGGTAGCCACTACCACTCATGCTCAGGTCAAACTGCAGTCCGGTGAGGTCCGAATGGTCACAGTCGACTGTGTGGCGGCAATCGGCCGAGTGAGCAACATCGATCACGAGCACGTCAGGCTGGGTAAGGCGGGTAGGAGCCGCTGGCTGGGCAGAAGGCCCAAGGTCAGGGGTGTGGCGATGAATGCGTGAGTACACGTCTGCGACAATGTTCTAGAACAATGTCTGACCCTTACTGATCTGTTCGTTCCTTCTGTCTTTCGGTTTCACCTTACCAGCGTCGACCACCCTCACGGAGGAGGCAGAGGTAAATCGAAGTCCAACATGCATCCCCGATCCATCTACGGTCACTTGGAAGGCAAGCGGACTCGCAAACCTGGTACAAAGAATGGAAACCAATTCGTCGTCAGGGAGAGGCCACGACAGAATGGAAAGCGCGCTGGAACGTAGTCAAGGCGTGGGACGCTTATCGGAGCGAACAGAGAAGTCGGCTGATGCTTTACATCACAATCCATTCATCTCATTCCGGCTTCACGGCCTACAATCTGCGGTATGCCTTTGTGATAGCTGTGTCGCCTTTCCGATGAGCGTGCGGAGATTTTCAGGCCGAAGAATGCCCAATGTAGTAATCCTCGGAGCTGCGCAGCAGCAGCAATCGAGCTCATGCGTCCAATCTCCCCACTCGATCGCTCGCCCGCCGGCGGGTCATGATTCGTGGCATCTGCCGCTCTCCGTCGGTTCGTCGCCGACGGCTCGTGAATTGTGGCATCTGCCAAAACGCCTTGGTCAGCGTAAAGGCGTTCAAGTATCCACCACGATGAAGATGACCACGGATGCAGGTACTCCTCGCTTTCGTACAAGCCATTGAGGCAGACTCCGAACCTCGGCTGTGGCAATGGTGGGTGTACCTCACCCCTTGCGTCACGGTAGGGTCACGCACCGACGCGGATTAGGTTCTCGGAAAGAAGTGTCTCCGATTCGCCTTTACCGCGTTGCGGGGTGAGCGCGGGCGGAGGCGCGTGGAGGCGCACCGGAGATCTCCGGCGGCTGGAATGGAGATCTGATCTTCGTGAGGGTGCAGTGGCTTCGATAGACGCAGTCCGGCGGTTGATACAAGGCCAATACACACCGGCGTGGTCCTGGCTGCTGACATACCCCCGCACAGGATGCAAGATGTGCCCGAGGTTACAGCGAGGCATTCTTGGGGTACGATCTGGAGCGAATGCGGGCGGTGGTATCACATTGCTAGCTTTACGCAATCTCGGTATGGAATCTGCAGGCTCTGTTCCACAATCGGAGGCGACCAGGCAATCAGTATCCGGGGCACAGGGCATCCGAAGGCACCTTAGATGTTGCTTCTCTCGGTGTGAAGCTGATCTATCGACGGCCACGTAGGTAGGTCCAGAGCCGTCGTAGGCTACTAACGCAGAGCTGCTCTGGTTTCTCTCAACCAAAAGCGAGACCAGAGCCGAGGAGAGCATATATAAACCCTTGCTCGAGTGCTCGAAAGACTGATGTTGGGACCATCCCTCCACTACACTATCACTACCCCTCCCTCTATTCCTCATCAAGGACACCACACTCTTTCTCAACCAACACTCTTTACAAACATGAAGCTTACTCTGTCTTTTATCACCCTGGCGGTCCTTGCTGCCCAGGGCCTGGCCGTCCAGGCGGCACCTAGCCGTGTAGACACTTTGGCAAAGCGTGTCCCCGGTGACAATCTCGAAATGAGGGGTGAGTAAAGGTGCTCGCCGTGCCGTCGACAATGGAAGGTGAGGCGTGTTGCTGATACCCACTCTTCACCGCCTCAGCTGTCGAAGCCGCCACTAAGACCCTGACTGTCACAAAGACAAAGACGACGACTCAGGTGCAGACTAAGACCAAGACTCAGACTCTGACCAAGACCAAGACTCAGACCCAGACCCAGACTCAGACCAAGACGATCACTACGGCTAAGGGCACAAAGACGCTTACCAACTGTGCCGCTACCAAGACTGTCACGAAGACGACCACTGCGACGGCCACCGTCACTGTTACGCCTGGCGATGGTCAAGACAATGGCTCTGGTGGTGACACTACCGGCTCTGGCTCTTCTACCGGCTCTGGTGACACTACCGGCTCTGGCTCCTCTACCGGCTCTGGTGACACTACCGGCTCTGGCTCTTCTACT